AGACAAGCGCAGCCACGTGACCTGGTAGAAGAGAAACGCTCACTGCGAACGCTTCTAGCCTCAAAACGCGCTAGGATCCGCACATGTGCAGGAAGTGCAGCGAGCGCTCTTCATTCTCAAGGGCCGATTACCAATGATGCTCGCAACCCTTCCACGCCCTTGCTGGCTTGGCAAGAGGCCTAGAAAAGCGCAGCCACATGACTTGGTAGAAGAAAAACGCTCAGAACGAGCGCTTCTAGCCTCAAAACGCGCTAGGATCCGCACATGTGCAGAAAGTGCAGCGGGCGCTCTTCATTCTCAAGGGCCGATGACCAATGATGCTCGCAACCCTTCCACGTCCTTGCTGGCTTGGCAAGAAGCCTAGACAAGCGCAGCCACGTGACCTGGTAGAAGAAAAACGCTCACTGCGAGCGCTTCTAGCCTCAAAACGCGCTAGGATCCGCACATGTGGAAGAAGTGCAGCGGGCGCTCTTCATTCTCAAGGGCTGATGACCAATGATGCTCGCAACCCTTCTACGCCCTTGCTGGCTTGGCAAGAGGCCTAGACAAGTGCAGCCACGTGACTTGGTAGAAGAAAAACGCTCAGTGCGAGCGCTTCTAGCCTCAAAACGCGCTAGGATCCGCACATGTGCAGGAAGTGCAGCGGACGCTCTTCATTCTCAAGGGCCGATGACCAATGATGCTCGCAACCCTTCTACGCCCTTGCTGGCTTGGCAAGAGGCCTAGACAAGCGCAGCCACGTGACCTGGTAGAAGAAAAACGCTCACTGCGGGCGCTTCTAGCCTCACCACGCGCTAGGATCCGCACATGTGCAGAAAGTGCAGCGGGCGCTCTTCATTCTCAAGGGCCGATGACCAATGATGCTTGCAACCCTTCCACGTCCTTGCTGGCTTGGCAAGAGGCCTAGACAAGCACATCCACTTGACCTGGTAAAAGAAAAACGCTCACTGCGAGCGCTTCTAGCCTCAAAATGCGCTAGGATCCGCACATGTGCAGGAAGTGCAACGGGCGCTCTTCATTCTCAAGGGTCGATGACCAATGATGCTCGCAACCCTTCCACGCCCTTGCTGGCTTGGCAAGAGGCCTAGACAAGTGCAGCCACGTGACTTGGTGGAAGAAAAACGCTCACTGCGAGCGCTTCTAGCCTCAAAACTTGCTAGGTTCTGCACATGTGGAGGAAATGCAGCGGGCGCTCTTCATTCTCATGGGCCGATGACCAATGATGCTCGCAACCCTTCCACACCCTTGCTGGCTTGGCAAGAGGCCTAGAGAAGCACAGCAACGTGACCTGGTAGAAGGAAAACGCTCACTGCGAGTGCTTCTAGCCTCAAAACGCGTTAGGATCCGCACATGTGGAGGAAGTGTAGCGGGCGCTCTTCATTCTCAAGGGCCGATGACCAATGATGCTCGCAACGTTTCCACACCCTTGTTTGCTTGGCAAGAGGCCTAGATATGCGCAGTCACGTGAGCTGGTAGAAGAATAACGCTCACTGCGAGCGCTTCTAGCCTCATAACGCGCTAGGATCTGCACATGTGGAGGAAGTGCAGAGGGCGCTCTTCATTCTCAAGGGCCGATGACCAATGATGCTCGCAACCCTTTCACGCCCTTGCTGGCTTGGCAAGAGGTCTAGACAAGCGCAGCCACGTGACCTGGTAGAAAAAAAACGCTCACTGCGAGCGCTTCTAGCCTCAAAACGCGCTAGGATCCGCACATGTGCAGAAAGTGTTGCAGGCGCTCTTCATTCTAAAGGGCCGATGACCAATGATGCTTGCAACCCTTCCACGCCCTTGCTGGCTTGGCAAGAGGCCTAGACAAGCGCAGCCACATGACCTGGTAGAAGAAAAACGCTCACTGCGAGCGCTTCTAGCCTCAAAACGCGCTAGGATCTGCACATGTGCAGGAAGTGCAGCGGGCGCTCTTCATTCTCAAGGGCCGATGACCAATGATGCTCGCAACCCTTCTACGCCCTTGCTGGCTTGGCAAGAGGCCTAGACAAGCGCAGCCACGTGACCTGGTAGAAGAAAAATGCTCACTGCGAGCGCTTCTAGCCTCAAAACGCGCTAGGATCCGCACATGTGCAGAAAGTGCAGCGGGCGCTCTTCATTCTCAAGGGTCGATGACCAATGATGCTCGCAACCCTTCTACGCCCTTGCTGGCTTGGCAAGAGGCCTAGACAAGCGCAGCCACATGACCTGGTAGAAGAAAAACGCTCAATGCGAGCGCTTCTAGCCTCAAAACGCGCTAGGATCCGTACATGTGGAGGAAGTGCAACGGGCGCTCTTCATTCTCAAGGGTCGATGACCAATGATGCTCGCAACCCTTGCACGCCCTTGTTGGCTTGGCAAGAGGCCTAGACAAGCGCAGCCACATGACCTGGTAGAAGAAAAACGCTCACTGCAAGCGCTTCTAGCCTCAAAATGCGCTAGGATCCGCACATGTGCAGGAAGTGCAACGGGCGCTCTTCATTCTCAAGGGTCGATGACCAATGATGCTCGCAACCCTTCCACGCCCTTGCTGGCTTGGCAAGAGGCCTAGATAAGTACAGCCACGTGACTTGCTGGAAGAAAAACGCTCTTTGCGAGCGCTTCTCGCCTCAAAACGTGCTAGGTTCCGCACATGCGGAGGAAGTGCAGCGGGCGCTCTTCATTCTCAAGGGCCGATGACCAATGATGCTCGCAACCTTTCCACGCCCTTGCTGGCTTGGCAAGAGGCCTAGATAAGCGCAGCCACGTGACCTGGTAGAAGAAAACGCTCACTGCGAGCGCTTCTAGCCTCAAAACGTGCTAGGATCTGCACATGTGGAGGAAGTGCAGCGGGCGCTCTTTATTCTCAAGGGCCGATGACCAATGATGCTCGCAACCCTTTCACGCCCTTGCTGGCTTGGCAAGAGGTCTAGACAAGCGCAGCCACGTGACCTGGTAGAAAAAAATCTCTCATTGCGAGCGCTTCTAGCCTCAAAACGCGCTAGGATCCGCACATGTGCAGAAAGTGCAGCAGGCGCTCTTCATTCTCAAGGGCCGATGACCAATGATGCTCGCAACCCTTCTACGCCCTTGCTGGCTTGGCAAGAGGCCTAGAAAAGCGCAGCCACGTGACCTGGTAGAAGAAAAATGCTCGCTGCGGGCGCTACTAGCCTCAAAACGCGCTAGGATCCGCACATGTGCAAGAAGTGCAGCGGGCGCTCTTCATTCTCAAGGGCCGATGACCAATGATGCTCGCAACCCTTCCACGCCCTTGCTGGCTTGGCAAGGGGCCTAGACAAGCGCAGCCACGTGACGTGGTAGAAGAAAAACGCTCAATGCGAGCGCTTCTAGCCTCAAAACGCGCTAGGATCCGCACATGTGCAGGAAGTGCAGCGGGCGCTCTTCATTCCCTAAGGTCGATGACCAATGATGCTCGCGACCCTTCCACGCCCTTGCTGGCTTGTTGGCATGGAGTGAAGACTGCAGCAGAGGAAGCTGAGTAGCAGACCGGCAGCAGCAGTTGCAGCAGCAGAAGCAGTGGGGGGTGGGGGGCTAGGGGGCAGACTATGTTAGGTCGAGTCGTGAGTGAGGTGTGGTACCAGGTGAGGTGTGGTATCAGGTGAGGTATGGTATCAGGTGTGTTGGCTGATTCCCTCCTCTCTCTTTCTCTCCCCCCCTCCCCTTATAGCAGCCTGAAGGAGGGAGGGAGCACTGGAAAAAGGGCGAAATAGAGGCATCCCTTTTCTAATCTCCCCCCCCCCTCTCTCTCCCTCCTCCTCCCACTTCCCAGCAGCCTGAGGCATCATGGCGCTATGAACGGCTATGGTAGGTACAGGTAAGTACGCATGGGGTGAAGGGATGGGGGTGAAGCATTGGAGCAAGTGGGCAGTTCACTGCCTTAGGGGCAGCATCCTCTGGTGTTGTGCCTTGTGGTTCGGGGCGTGGTGGGTGGAATCTGTGCAGCACGGCACTCGGTGCTCAGGAAATCGACCTGCCGTTCAAGGCTTAATGGACACCGTCAGAGCCGACCGGTTGGCGGCTCTGGTTCGCGTCAGCTCTAGCCACGTCAGGGGTGAAATCTGAGTCTTGGGCTAGAAGCAATTTTCCATTTCCACACCTCGACTTTAAGGCACAGCCCCCGAGAGTGTTGTTTCCGAAAGGGAGTGGGCTGTCTGCTGCTCCTACTGCTGATAAGTGAAGTTGAGGAGGGCTGGGTGGGCTGGGTGGTGATGGTGGTGAGAGGCTGTGGGGTTGGCAGTGGCATATGATGAGCCGTTTGGCACTGATGCCACCTGTTGCATGAGAGCATGATGCTCGTACTTGGTAGGTGGCATATGATGAGCCGTATGGCACTGATGCCACCTGTTGCATGAGAGCATGATGCTCGTACTTGGTAGGTGGCATATGATGAGCCGTATGGCACTGATGCCACCTGTTGCATGAGAGCATGATGCTCGTACTTGGTAGGTGGCATATGATGAGCCGTATGGCACTGATACCACAGCGTAGCATGATACAGTGCCATAGGATACAATGACCTATGATGGAACGTGGTATGATGCAGTGTGGCATGATCTAGTGTGTTCTGATGCAATGTGGGTTGATATACTGCGGTATGATGCAGTGCGGTATGATACACTGTAGTATGATATAGAGTGGAATGATAGTGTAAAGTTATATGTTGTGATATGTTTTCCTCAGTGTACAATGATACAGTGTGCAATGATACATTGTGCTATGATACAGTGTACAATGATATCGTGTGGTATGATTTTGCCTGGTATAATATGGTGTGGAATGATTCAGTGTGGTCTGATACAGTGTGGTATGGTACAGTGTGGCATGATACAATGTGATATCTCATTGTGTGAGCGTGTATCAAGGAGTGGCATGGCATATTGTATCTAGTGGTGTGACATCGCACGGTCTGCCATCTGTTTTGGCATGTCATATTTTCACATGACATGGCGTGGCAGGGCATGAGCTGGCATGGCATACTGCGGCATGTCATGGTGTGGCGTGGAGTGGTGTGGCAGATGGTATGGCATGTCATGGTATGGCATGTCATGGTGTGGCAGATTGTATGGCATGTCATGGTATCGCATGTCATGGTGTTGCATGCCATGGCATGGTGTGGCATGCCATGGTGTGGCATGTCATGGTGTGGCATGCCATGGTGTGGCATGTCATGGTGTGGCATGTCATGGTGTGGCATGTCATGGTGTGGCATGGCATGGTGTGGCATGGCATGGTGTGGCATGGCATGGTGTGGCATGTCGTGGTGTGGCAAGCCATGGTGTGGCATGTCATGGTGTGGCATGTCATGGTGTGGCATGGCATGGTGTGGCATGGCATGGTGTGGCATGGGCATCATGCCATCTGCCTGCAGGTTGGCAGCAGATGGAGGGAAGTGGAGCACGATGGAAGGCAAGGAGGGCAGTGAGGGAGGGAAGAGGAGTGAAGGGGTGGAGGAGTGGAGGTGTGTGGCATGTTGCAAGCATGCCTGGCTTACCTGCCATGCCCTTCCGCTGCACTGCATGTCAAGAGAATATAAAGCCGTAGTGGGTACGATTCTGTCAAGTATACTTGTCTAATTTGAGACTTTATGTTTCTTGTAGAAACTGCAGTAGGAATTTCTGTGCAATTTGTGGCATTTGCAGAGTTGAATGATCTCTGGTGGATAATGGAAATTGGCTGGCAATTGCAACGCAAATTGTATGCATGTTATTGAACAATTAGGCAACGCAAGTCAATCCTTGGAACAATGCATTGATAACCGTACGATAATTGTCATTCGCATATGTCAGTAATCTGCCGAAGTCATAACTACCATCTCAATTTAATGTAAATTCTCTAATGCAGATACCCTATTACCATTTAATTTAGAAGGTGTCTAAGATGAAACACCAATAGAATCGCCTATGGTGTACCTCGAGGCACCGAACTGAATCCGCTCCCAATGCTCATCCCTTGGAGTACTCAGCGCGACTCTGATGTGAATTCCAGCAGCGCTGCTCCCACTGACACTCTGACACCCACACCTCCCTCCCGCCAGATCTGCCACCACCACCAGCCATAGCCATTCATTCTCGTCCTAATTTCGCCTCTTACATCCGCTGCGCTTCGGCCCGCCGCGAAAATTACCCCTTCGAGCCACCTCCTTTCGCGCTCTTTCAACCCACACGACAGCTTAGTGACCCCCCAAGGAAAATCTGAGCTTAGTTGGCAGCGTTTGGGGTCGATAGGCAACCCACGTCACTCACTTCGGCCCCCTGGGTTGATCTCGACCGGCCATGTGGCAAAGGAGCTGCTGATTCGGACGACCCCATTCGATTTTTCACATTTTCGCGCTCGAAATTGTTCGTCGCAACGGATTTCTACGCTACGCACGCATGGAGGGGCCCAAGTTGGGCATGCGAACTCAACTCCCGCTTGCGCCTTGCCACGCTCCCTCCCAAACTGCTGCCTCCACCTCTCCCTCCACATTTCGCACCTCCCTTTCGCCCCGTTCTCGTTCAGACCGGCTAGTTTACGCTTCTCATTCTGATCGGCTAGGCTACGACTCTACTGCTCTGCGCATTTCCAATTCCTCGTCACCTGCTGCTGCTGCACTTTTCAGACAAAGCTAGCCATCGCCGAAGCCGTTTCAGCTGCGCTTCAATCCATCTTCACGCCACTTCCGACTCGTCGCCAGATTAGGCACGCCGAAGCCGTTTTAGTTGATCGATTGAGGACGTGTTGTTGGGTTTTCCGCCTCCAAGATCGCGACTTTCGTTCGTCGTCACCTGCTGCTGAAATTCCACGCTAGGCTGCACATTCGATTCGATCGATCGCGCACGTGCTGACGAGACGACGTGTTGCCATTCGTCGCCTCCAAGACCGCATCGCGACTTTAGCCTCATTGTACGTCCATTCGTCCCTCTCACTCTAGTTTTCTGCTTATTGATGTCGATTTACGTTAGACCGTCGCAGAAATAATTTTCACTTATCTTCGGTTCTTGATCACTTGTAATCGTCACTCATTTTCTTCTTTGTTTCCCGTTCCATGTGATTTCAGGCATTTAAGCGATTTTCGAGAATCGCGGACCATCTTTTGAAGTTGGCTCTCGCAGTCGCCAGCCTTCCTCGCCGCTCCACCGCTTCTGCTCTCCGCGCGCCTCGCGTCATCCATCCGCCAACCCCTTCGCCGCACCCCCATCGCCTTGGCCCTCCATCACCACTCCGCGGTAAGCCGTCAGCCCTCATTTCCGTTCACCACTTTCGTCCCACATCCGCCATGCACAACGCTTTCATTACTCCCTGAAAACGGCTTCTGAAAAAGAGTGTATTGTTATTATTTTGCAGGAAGCAGCAGGCGTGATGGAAGGCAAGGCAGCAGTGAAGGATACGTGAGCATGGCAGCGAGGCAGCGACGAGGTATTGGCGTGAAGTGACAGCGAGGCAACAGCGGTGGGCGAGGACCCTCTCCGCCACTCCACTTGCCATCGCACTGCCTTGCCTCCAACCGTGCTCTGCTCTGCACTGCACTGCGCGCAGATAAGTCCCCTCGCCTCGCCTCCTTGCTCTCTCCATTGCTCATTCATTGCACACGCCACGCCACTCAATGCCAGCCCAAGGCGAACCTGCAGCCCTCCCTGTCTCTTCCCCTAGCTCGGAGAGGGAGTTTTGGAGAGGGAGTTTTGGAGAGGGAGTTTTGGGGAGGGAGCGTTGGAGAGGGAGTTTTGGGGAGGGAGTTTTGGAGAGGGAGTTTTGGGGAGGGAGCGTTGGAGAGGGAGTTTTGGGGAGGGAGTTTTGGAGAGGGAGTTTTGGGGAGGGAGCGTTGGAGAGGGAGTTTTGGGGAGGGAGCGTTGGAGAGGGAGTTTTGGGGAGGGAGCGTTGGAGAGGGAGTTTTGGGGAGGGAGCGTTGGAGAGGGAGTTTTGGGGAGGGAGCGTTGGAGAGGGAGTTTTGGGGAGGGAGCGTTGGAGAGGGAGTTTTGGGGAGGGAGCGTTGGAGAGGGAGTTTTGGGGAGGGAGCGTTGGAGAGGGAGTTTTGGGGAGGGAGCGTTGGAGAGGGAGTTTTGGGGAGGGAGCGTTGGAGAGGGAGTTTTGGGGAGGGAGCGTTGGAGAGGGAGTTTTGGGGAGGGAGCGTTGGAGAGGGAGTTTTGGGGAGGGAGCGTTGGAGAGGGAGTTTTGGGGAGGGAGCGTTGGAGAGGGAGTTTTGGGGAGGGAGCGTTGGAGAGCCGCTCCCTTGCGCTTGCCACGCACTCACTGTGTCTCCCCCCTGCCCTGCCTCGCAGGTCCTTCCCTTCAACCCTCCTCGCTGGCTCGCACCTCCTCCGCTCGCCCCTGCAGGAGCGCGGGCAGCGGGGCAGCAGCGCCGGCCTCATCAACGGTTGAGGTTGCAGTATCGCCCCTGCCACCACACTCCACTCGAGCCCACTCCCCCTCAGGTTCAGGTTCAGGTTCAGGTTCAGGTGCAGGTTCAGGTTGGTAGCGGCTCTTGTGGGGCTGTGGTTGGCGTCACATGCACCGTTTTTTTTGCACTCACACTGCTGCCAGAGTCTTCTCGTTTTAAAGAGTCACTCCCTCCCACCTGCCTCTTACTAGCTCTCTATCACTCTCTCCCTCCTCTGCCTCGCAGGTCCGTCCCTTCAAGCCCCGCTCGCCCTGCCCACTCTCCATTGAAGCACCCCCTCCGCCTGCACCACACAATCAGCTAAGTACCCGTCCCCCCATGTCCGCACCCTTGCCTGCCATTCCATTTCTTTCGTTTCATCTGCTGCTGCTCCGTCTTCTTGAAACAACGCCATTGGTTAAGTACTGCTCACATGTTACAGACCCCCCTGCTACAGGTGATTCAGGTAACCCCTTCAGGTGCAGGTACACCCCTCAGGTTCTTTTTCAGGTGCCCTTGGGTCTGCAGCTTGTGGTCATGCCTCAACCAGTGGCTCCTCCTCCCTTTCCTTTCGCTGCATTTCAAGTCACAGTCTCCCCTTCAACTTGCGCTCTGACTAGCTCTGTGTGTGCGCATTGCAGGTGGCGGGGAGGGGTGTGGGGTCAACACCGACGCTCCCTCACGCCCCTCCCCTGTGGCCGTGCAGGGGCGCACACAAGAAGGCTGGGAGGAGGGCTGCCGTGGAGGGAGGCAGCTGGTGGTGCTGCAGCTGCCTTGAGCTCGCCCTCACGCCACCAGCTAAGTAACCCTCCTCCATGCCCTCACCTGGTGGTGCTGCAGCTGCCCTCTGCTCGCTCTCACGCCTTACAGCTAAGTTCCCTCAACCCCTTGCCTGCCTCGCCATGTCTTGTGTACTTTGCTTGCATCTCGTGTTTGCATGCGCTTTCGCACCTTCCTCTTGAAACAGTGCCACTGGTTGGGCCCGCCTCACATGCTGCAGACCCCCTTACTTCAGGTAACCCTCTCAGGTGCAGGTACCCCTCAGGTGCAGGTGTGCAGGTACCCCCTCAGGTGCAGCCCTTGGGTCTGCAGTTTGTGACTTGGCCTCCACCAGTGGCCCCTCCCCTCTCCCGCCTTGCAACTGCCGTTCCCTCTCTTGCTTGCTTGCACTTTCACCCTTCATCCCCTCGCTGCCCACTGACCAGCTCTGCGTGTGTGCCTTGCAGGTGGAGGGGAGGGGCGGGGGTCAACACCGACGCTTCCCCACGCCCCTCCCCTGTGGCCGTGCAGGTACCCGTGGGGATGGGAGGGAGGCAGCACTGCCAATCGCTGCACCAAGGGAGAGTATCGGGGTGGGCTTGGCCTCTCAAGGTACGTCACCTCCCCTCTTGCCCTCATCGCTCTCCCTTTCTGCTCCTCAATTTCGCCTTCTCATTTCTTTTAGGTGCAGCTGTTGTTGTTTTTCCTGGTCATGCCAACTCAACCACTGTTACTTCCCCCCCTGTCTGCTGCCCCTACCAGGTCACTTGGCATTCAACAGGAGACGCACACTGGAGGAGGAGGGGAGGGGAGCAGGGACGAGGCAACAGCTCCCTCGAACGTTCTCCATCTGCCAGCTAAGTTCCCTCAACCCCTTGCCTGCCTCGCCATGTCTTGTGTACTTTGCTTGCATCTCGTGTTTGCATGCGCTTTCGCACCTTCCTCTTGAAACAGTGCCACTGGTTGGGCCCGCCTCACATGCTGCAGACCCCCTTACTTCAGGTAACCCTCTCAGGTGCAGGTACCCCTCAGGTGCAGGTGTGCAGGTACCCCCTCAGGTGCAGCCCTTGGGTCTGTGGTTTGTGACTTGGCCTCCACCAGTGGCCCCTCCCCTCTCCCGCCTTGCAACTGCGGTTTCCTCTCTTGCACTTTCACCCGTCATCCCCTCGCTGCCCACTGACCAGCTCTGCGTGTGTGCCTTGCAGGTGGAGGGGAGGGGCGGGGGTCAACACCGACGCTTCCCCACGCCCCTCCCCTGTGGCCGTGCAGGTACCCGTGGGGATGGGAGGGAGGCAGCACTGCCAATCGCTGCACCAAGGGAGAGTATCGGGGTGGGCTTGGCCTCTCAAGGTACGTCACCTGCCCTCTTGCCCTCGTCTCTCTCTCTTTCTGTTCTTCGATTTTGCCTTCTCGATTTTGTCATCTTCAGTTTTGTTTTTCCTTTTCTGGTCCAGCTAACTCACTTGCTTTTACTTCCCCCCTTTCGTCTGCCTCCACCCCCCTCGCCTGTGGCCGTGCAGGTGCCTGTCTGTGGGGATGGGAGGGGGGCAGCTCTGCCAGTCGCTGCCACAAGGGAGAGTATCGGGGTGGGCTTGGCCTCTCAAGGTACGCCGCCTCCCTTTTTGCCCTCAACCCTCTCTATTTCTGCTCTGTGGTTCCGCCTTCTCTTTCTCGTCAACTTCAGTTCATTGGTTTCTCTAGTCCAGCCTATTCACTTTCTTTTACTTTCCCCCTATTCTTCTGCCCCCACCCCTGCAGGCCACTGGGCATCGAGGGAAGACTGTAGCAGAGAAGCTGAGTAGCAGACCGGCAGCAGCAGTAGCAGCAGCAGCGGCAGCAGCAGCAGCAGCAGCAGCAGCAGTGGGGGGTGGGGGGTTAGAGGCGGGATAGGTTAGGTCGAGTCGTGAGCGAGGTGTGGTATGGTATCAGGTAAGGTATGGTAACAGGTTTGGTATGGAGATCTGATCCCCTCCTCTCTTTCTTCCTCCCCACCCCTCTTTGCAGCCTGAGTATGGAGGGAGCACTGGAGCAAGGGCGGGACAGAGGCATCTCTCTCTTCATCCTCACCTACCCCTCCCCTTCTCCCTCCCGCTGCCCCCCTCCCCACTTTCCAGCACGGTCGATGCAGCCTGAGGGAGAGAGGGAGCAAGGGCAGGACAGAGCCATCGCACTAACCCTCCCCCCCCCTCCTCCTCCCTCCCCACTTCCCAACACCCTGAGGCAACATGGCGCTCTGCATGGCTGTGGTAGGTAGAGGTAAGAGGCATGGGGTGAAGGGGAGAGTGGGGAGGCGGTGGGAAGCATGGGAGCAAGTGGGCAGGTCACTCTCTCAGGGGCAGCATCCTCTAGGGATTTGCCTTGCGGGTCGGGGTGTGGTGGGTGGAATCTGCGCGGCACGGCACTCGGTGCTCAAGTAACAAACCTGACGTTAAGGCTTAAAGGGCACCGTCAGAGTCGACCGGCCGGCGACTCTGGTTCGCGTCAGCTCTAGCTACGTCAGGGGCAGGATTTGAGTCTTGGGCTGGAAGCAATTTTCCACTACCACACCTCGTCCCACAAGGCACTTCCCCTGGGGTGCTGTTTCCGAAGGGGAGTGGGCTGTCTGCTGCTCCTACTGCTGGCAGGTAAGGTGGGGAGGGGATGGGTGGGCTGGGTGGTGATGGTGGTGATGGGGTGATGGAGGTGAGAGGCAGTGGGGTTGGCGGTGGCATATGATGAGCCATATGGCACTGATGCCACCCTTAAGCATGGAAGCATGATGCTCATGCTTGGCTGGTTGGGGGCACATGATGAGTTGCACTGATGCCACCCTTAAGCATGGAAGCATGATGCTCATGCTTGGCTGGTTGGGGGCACATGATGAGTTGCACTGATGCCACCCTTAAGCATGGAAGCATGATGCTCATGCTTGGCTGGTTGGGGGCACATGATGAGTTGCACTGATGCCACCCTTAAGCATGGAAGCATGATGCTCATGCTGGGCACATGATGAGTTGCACTGATGCCACCCTTAAAGCCAGGATCTCAAGTAAGAGAAATTGGCTTCAATTGCAAAACACTTGCAGCTCGAGTCACCCTGTTTGTGTAGGCGAAATTCAGTGGTTGGGTTGGAGGTTCAGCGAGCGACAGATTTCCGTTTTGCCCGTGAATCTCAATTGCAAAACAGATTTCTGTACATGAGATTTTTCGGAGGTGGGACACATTGCTCGGAAATGAGCTTCGGAACCCAACCTGATTTCCGTGCCTAGGTGGTTCGGAAGCAGCCAACGATTTTTGTTCGCTTCGCATCCCTCGTTTCAGCTCTCGTGAAGGACTCTACCTCGTCAACCAATCAAAGCCTAGCGCAATTCACTGACTGCAAAATATCCAAACTACATGAGATCCCGGCTTTAAGCATGGAAGCATGATGCTCATGCTTGGCTGGTTGGGGGCACATGATGAGTTGCACTGATGCCACCCTTAAGCATGGAAGCATGATGCTCATGCTTGGCTGGTTGGGGGCACATGATGAGTTGCACTGATGCCACCCTTAAGCATGGAAGCATGATGCTCATGCTTGGCTGGTTGGGGGCACATGGTGAGTGGCACTGGTGCCACCCTTAAGCATGGAAGCATGATGCTCATGCTTGGCTGGTTGGGGGCACATGATGAGTTGCACTGATGCCACCCTTAAGCATGGAAGCATGATGCTCATGCTTGGCTGGTTGGGGGCACATGATGAGTTGCACTGATGCCACCCTTAAGAAAGGGGACCTGAATCCTCCAGTCCAGGGTGAGTGCAAGTGAAAGGGGCTGAGCCCTCTTGGGTGGGTGAGATCAAGTGAAAGGGGCTGAGCCCTCTTGGGTGGGTGAGTGCAAGTGAAAGGGGCTGAGTCCCCTTGGGTGGGTGAGTGCAAGTGAAAGGGGCTGAGTCCCCTTGGGTGGGTGAGTGCAAGTGAAAGGGGCTGAGTCCCCTTGGGTGGGTGAGAGCAAGTGAAAGGGGCTGAGTTTTGTTGGGTGGTTGAGTGCAAGTGAAAGGGACTGAGTCCCCTTGGGTGGTTGAGTGCAAGTTAAAGGGACTGAGTCCCTTGGGTGGGTGAGCATGATACTCATGCTTGGTTGGTGGCACATGATGAGCCGTATGGCACTGATGCCACCTGTTGCATGAGAGCATGGCATGATACAGCGTGATGTTAAATAGCATGGCATGATACAGCGTGATGTTAAATAGTATGGCATGGAATGTGGTATGGTGACGGTGTGGCATGATGCTTAGCATGATGACTGTGTGTTATGATGCAGTGTGGCATCATATACTGTGGAATGATATAGTGTATAATGATCTAGGGTGGTATAGTTTTGCCCGGTATAATATAGTGTAGTATGATTCAGTGTTGTCTGTCTTAGTTTGATATGGTACAGTGTGATATTATACAATGTGGTATCTCACTGTGTGAGTGTGTATCAAGGAGTGGCATGGCATATTGTATCTGGTGGTGTGGCATGGCATGGTGTATCATCTTGTGGTGTGACATGGCATGCTGTGCCATCTGTTTTTTTGGCACGTTATGGAGTGGCATGTCATGTTCTCACGTTGCATGGTGCGGCAGGGCACGAGGTGGCATGGCATGATGCAGCATGTCATGGTGTGGCATGGAGTGGTGTGGCACATGGTACAGCATGTCATGGTGTTTGCATGGCATGGTGTGGCATGGCATGGTGGAAGAGGAGCATAATGGAAGGCAAGGAGCGCGGTGAGGGAGGGAAAAGGAGTGAAGGGGTTGAGGAGTGGAGGGAATGTGGCAAGCATGGCTGCCTCACCTGCCATACCCTTCCGCTGCACTGCATGTCCAGAAAAAGCTGTAGTGGGTAACAATTTTGTGAAGCATACTTGTGTATTATGAGACTTAATGTTTATTGTAAAAACTGCAGTAGATATTTTATGCTGTTGATCATCAACTGTCTGAAACCCGAATTAGCAGACATGTGGCCAGATGGTGTATGGAAGATTGCTCATGTCGCTAGTTGCATAGACTGGCCGAACATTGGTTGGAAGCAACTTAGATGCTGAGTTGACTTGTTTCCAGATAGAGGAAAGAGTTTTAGGGCACGAAAGTAATGTTCCATTTATACCCTCCTGATCCGTTACAGCGCGGTGGTGGTCGATGTCCAGCAAGGATGACTTTCGATCCGAAAGATTTGGATTAGCGAATGATGACGTAGTGTGCTACCCATGCCACGTACACGGACTGCACGATTTGGGCCCGAACTCAATCCACGTGTCCCTCAAGATACAATGGAATTCTGAAGAGCACTTTAGACCCAAGATCGGGGAACTTAGAATGGGGACTGTCTACACTCCTGCTAGTTCACACTTTTGAAATTGGTTTGCGTTCACAATCCCTTTCTGCATGGAAATCCGAAACTGCCGCTCTCCAGACTGACACTCAGCTCTGTCTAAACAGAACCTAATCGCTTTCTCCTAGCCAACAACCAACCAACCTTGGCAATTGCTCATTTTGCTGGCCTCCATTGAGCCAGCCTCGCTCCAATCAACCTGACCAGATTTCTCCCTTGCATTCGTCGAACCACAAAAGCAGGGCAATCCAGTCCAGTCACAGTCGCTGGTTCACCCTGCTCAAGGCTGAACCTTCGGTGCTGTCATTCCCAACACACTACTGCACAACCATCATGTCTTCCCAGATCCTACTTGGATCAACCAGGGTCTGCACCAACGCATCGTCTCTCTCCCACATTCGCTCTGCAGCGTTGTTTAGCAAGGCTTCTGAGGCCTCGCTGTCGTCCTCCTTTCTTCCGTCGACTCGCGAGGCATCGTTCTCTGCTGCCGGCTCTGCTGCGAGACTGCGTGTGAAGGGAGCAACTAGATCGCGTGTGGTGGTGACCGCCATGGCTGACAGCCAGGGGAAGCGAACTGTCCTTGTCACTGGCGCTGGAGGCAGAACAGGTTGAGCATTATGTTGTGCTTCTTCTGAAGTTCCTCCTCGTTTTTTCTCTCTCTCTCTCTTTTCGCAGTTCCCTTAAATCTATTTTGTTCCACAAAGCACATATGATGTTGCTCAATCACTTTGCACCAAGTACACTCTTCGCATTTCCCTTCCATTTCGCCGTATCTCCACGTCATCCCTGTTATGACATACTCAGGCCGGTTGGTGCTGGAGAAGCTTCAAAGCCGGCCGGAGTTTAACGCGAGAGGCATGGTGCGGTCGGAGGCGAGCAAGGAGACGCTTGCACAGGCCGTGCCTGGCGCCGACATCATCGTTGCCGATATCGTCCGCCCCACCGACAAGGCCTTCGCCTCTGCGTTCGACGGCGCCGAGGCAGTCATCATTGTTACCAGCGCTGTGCCGAAAATGAAACCCGGTTTTGATCCTTCTTCTGGTCAGCGGCCTGAGTTTTATTTTGAAGAAGGAGGCGAACCTGAGAAGGTAAGCCGTTGTTTCGGCGAAGACTCGAATAAGAAAAAGCGTGGAACAGGAATGCACAAGAGTGTTTGGATTGAGCGAAGTGATGAGCACGTGGAACAGCGAGGGTGGAGTCTGATTTCAAACCGATGTGTATGAGTGAAACCGTCGCTGTAGTAACACCCTCAAAGAGATTGTTTGTGCGGTTTTATGCACGTTATGAACGTCTCCATCTTTACTAATGGTCGTATTTACTCTGTTTCAGGTTGATTGGCTCGGTCAGAAAGCACAGATTGATGCTGGTAATTTCTACTACCCTCCTCTGCTAATCTTTATGTCTATGATGCTGCTTCATGTGTCCTGCTGTTTTCCGTCGTCGCGTTGGCTTCATCATGCAGCAGGCTTCTGAACTCTATAGCTTAACTGAGCTCATGTTTCAGCTTTGCCCGCTTACATTCGAACCTCCCTCTTGTTAATTCTTCCAACTATTCTACAGCTAGGCGGGCAGGAGTGAAGCAGGTGGTGATAGTGGGGTCTGCAGGTGGTACCAACGAAAAGCACCCCCTGAACTCTTTGGGCAACGGAAACATTCTGGTCAGTTCACTCGCATAAACACTGCTGATATGCATCATTGCTCAAGCTATGCTTCCGTTCACTCTTTGCGTGCTTTTATATTCAGTTTCTGCAGTCACAAAGCTTCCATTGTCTGACTCCTGTCCTGGAACCGCTGCAGATTTGGAAGCGCAAGGCAGAGCAGTATCTTGTTGACTCAGGCATTCCGTACACCATTATCAGGTGAGGAGGGTAGGGTCAGGGAGTACCATGTAAGCTGCCTTTCCTCTCTGATGTCAATGGCTCGCTGTCGATTGAAGAGGCGCACCTTCAACCCCCTTTCTCATTCTTAGGTTGTTTGGTTCCCTGTTGCACATTCCCAGAGCTGGCGGACTTTTGGATAAGGATGGTGGAAAGCGCGAATTGCTGGTGGGCAAGGATGACGAGTTTCTCTCTAGCAACACTCGCACCGTGCCTCGTGCAGACGTTGCTGAAGTCTGCGTGCAGGTATGGAAACTCGAAATTCACGTTTTTATCTTGAAGTTATACTTGATTTGCATTTCCACACGTGACCCTTCATTTCTAGCTCAGACTTGTTCTTGCTCGTGCGGAAACACTAACATGTGCACATTTGAGATGTATAGAGGATGGAGTAGCTAGGAAAGCATCGAGAGCGTGTTTGGCGAACCCTGTGCTAAACTGAACCTTCATTGTGCCAGGCTTTATTCAACCTTATCTCCTCACTCGTGGCCCCTTGACCCACTTCTTTCCTGTTCCCAGGCTCTTCTCTGTAATGAGGCAAAGAGCAAGGCTCTTGATCTCGTGTCGCGCGAGGAGGGAGATGGACCTGTCACCACTGATTTCAAAGCTCTTTTTGCACGAACAACGTCCGGGATGTAAATCACCTTCCGCCAGCCTCCAGTGCAGTCCCAGTTTTGTGCTTTGAAGATAACTCAGTATCACGCAACTGTGGTGATAGATGTTACTGTTTGGATTGCCGCATTGGAAAACGTACACACACGTATTGAGGGTAGTATAGCTTTGAGCATTTCCATGAGCACGAGTTTTATGTTGAACTTCTATCCATCCACCCTATATTCATGGACACCAATCCTAGTACCCACAAAAAATAAGTGTGCACACTATTCAAGTAATGTGTAGCTGTCAACGACTTCACCTCTCCATGGGCCGATCCAACCGATAATTCATAATACTCCTTGTACTATCTACCAGAAATGATATTCTGAAACGCCCCTCCCGTCAATCCATAATTACTTTCCAATTAAAAGTGTACCATCTGAAACTAAACGAACATACTGGGTGATTACACGATATACAGATTCCGGAAGCGTTTCCGTTCAAACCAATTTACATGAGAAGACTATGCACAACGGAAAGCATGAATGGGTAACGTAAGGGACCTAAACGGCCATAGTGGCCAGGGCTAGTATTTTGACGAACTCCGCACTGTGACGCGAGCCTGTGCTGGCCGTCCTTTACCGGAGCCTCCACAGCTGCTGCACAGCATCCGGCCAGACCCGTGGCATGTACCGCAACCCACATCTCCGTCCGACCATCTGCAGGGGAAGAAAAAGGAAGTTAGCAACGAGCTATGCAATACGGGTTGGCAACAATCCAACCTATCGACGTGATTCATACGGTTGATGCGGAACTTACTTGTTGCACATGCACGGAATTTTCCTCGTGCCATGACAAGTTGCACAGGGGTTCATTGGAGGAGCCATGGAAGCCTCGTGATCCATCATAGACTTCACAGCTATGGCACCTGCAGCGAGGCCGATGCACTGAGCTATCAAAGCCTGAGAAGCAACTAATGCAGGGGCCATTGTGTGTAGAATCTAAAGTATCAGTCAGGGAGAAACACACGATAGACTGGGCAGGTATGTCACAACGGGAGGTATTCGACTCCAGCACAAACTAAACAATAACTCCGTCTCTCACAACTTCTCGCAGCTTATGGGGTACAACCAGACTGGCACACCTGGGGTGATAAATGGAAAAGGGGAGAACAGAGGCTTGGTGGTGGGCCTGGATGGTTCACGAACTAACGTTGCAAGAGGTGGGTGGGATATGTAGTTCGCGGCAACCCGTCAGCGGTAAGGAAACTGGAATCGTCAACCTTGTCGCTGATGGACCGACGGAGTTTCTCGTTCGTGGAACAGGCCAGGCTGTGCTCGCCGCTGGTCCGCCAGGTATTAGTGGTGGAAGGCACACCAGCTCAGCCATTGGCGCAGTGAAGGCGGGCTTGACACGGATTGCAGGGCTTTCGTGGCGCGAGTTCGCTTCACTCCGTTGGCTGTCACGTGTCACCGAGAGCGTCCCGATTCGCGCAAAAAGCTGACGCACAGGTAGGACGTGGTTACCTGTGAATATGCCACGTTTTACTATGATATTTTGTGCCAACACGCACCTGACAGCAAATCACGTTGCAAAGTAATTTTATTGGCCACCTGCTTCGGCAAGATGGCGAATAGGATAGGGTCCCGCTACTTCGGACCTATAGAAACAGTCTCGAACGTGCTCCCGCCTAGGCCTCGCTTCCGAACCTCGAACACACGCGATGTCAAAGCCCAAAAACCTAGGCCAACCAATCAAACGGAAAACAGTGAGTTGAATACATCGATGCTCTGCTATTGTTTACGAAACAAGTCTGGTAGGGGTACAGAGAAACCATCTACGTCCCAAAGTAAGTTATGGTGATCTAAACCCTGGAACCTCACCCTCCCTTTCAGTTGGGTGTTGGTAATGATTGCAGTACCCATCAAGCATATCCATGCGAACCTTGATGCAAGGCTATCCATTGAACCCCTTCGCTAACTCAATTTTCTCTCTTGAATGTACGCATTGAAAGTGTACATAAGCTTCGAGAATATCACATCGCCATTGCCAAGTATGCATCAACTTTACGTGCAGATTACCAAAGACATAGTCCCGGATCCTATCGGGGCACCTCGAATTGTATGCAATATTGCAGTACACATGTATGCATAGGATAAGCGAAAGGAACAACATAATACGGTGTCACTGAAACGTCATAAACCTAACTGCACTATCATGAAGGCAACACTATTACAATGTAACATGAGTCGTGACCCGGTCGGCACCATAAAACTGCAGGGAGACGGGGAAGACAAGATGCAGTAAGAAAACACACAAAGGCTAAACACTACACATCCATTGTTGCACTCAAGAAACACTCAATGAAACTTGAAACGGGCATGCAGCGTTGTTGTAACCTTTGTACCTCTTGCTCACCGCAGTGCCTCTTGCTCACCGCAGTGCCTCTTGCTCACCGCAGTGCCTCTTGCTCACCGCAGTGCCTCTTGCTCACCGCAGTGCCTCTTGCTCACTGCAGTGCCTCTTGCTCACCGCAGTGCCTCTTGCTCACTGCAGTGCCTCTTGCTCACCGAAGTGCCTCTTGCTCACCGCAGTGCCTCTTGCTCACCGCAGTGCCTCTTGCTCACTGCAGTGCCTCTTGCTCACCGCAGTGCCTCTTGCTCACCTCGGTGCCCTTGTTGTTGACGAAGGTGTCTGTGAATAGCTCCTTGGGGTCGGGGAAGGGCGACGCCTGGCAGTAACAGGGTGCAGGCAGAAATGCAGGAGGAGCAGATAGGTCAAGGCAATTGGCTGAGTGAAGGGAAAGTACATGTGATCGTGCGAAAAAAAAAAAAAAAAAAAAAAAAAGGCACAATGTGCCATGCCCAGGGGGGTGAGCTTGGTTGGAAAGTGTAGCATGAGAGGTAAAACAGTAGCTCAATACAGATGGTGTGAGACAGCGGGCAACACGAGAGGCGAGGAGCGAGTGAATGCGGGCTCGGCGGTCTGACCTTGGCCTTCTCAATGTCCGCCTCCACGAGCGCCTTGGCCTCCTTCTCGAGCGACTGCCGCACACGACGTAGGCACATGGTGGGAAAGGGTTGAGGGAGTGGGACGGGGGTGAGGAATTATAAAGAGAGGTGGAGAGGAGAGAGAGAGGGGGAGAGAGAGAGAAGAGGGGGGGAGGGGGGAGGGAGAGAGGAGAGATGGAGGAGGAGCAGGAGCAGGAGGAGGAGGAGGAGGAGGAGGAGGAGGAGGAGGAGGAGGAGGGAGGAGGAGGAGGAGGAGGGGGAGGAGGAGGGGGAGGAGGAGGAGGAGGAGGAGGAGGAAGAAGAGGAGGAGGAGGTGAGGGGAAAGGACAGCGAAAGAGGCAGGGGGGAAAAAGGTGGACATCAAAGAGAAACAACAACAGCAGTAGCAACGAGGACGGGGATCAGGCAGCAACACGGGGCACGAGCGCGAGCACGGCGCAGTGCAGGCGAGGCGACGCGAGGCGAGGCGAGGCGGTAGGTACCTTGAGCTCGGCGGTGGTGACGACCTCCTTGGCGAGCAGCAGCTTGCGGATGCGCTCGATGGGGTCGCGCTCCTGCCGCACGCCCGAGATCTCCTCGCGCGTGCGGTACGTGCTGCCCGGGTCCGACATGGAGTGCCCGTGGTACCTGTACGTGTCCATCTCCAACACCTGCCAGGGCGAGGGGGGGAAAGGGCGGGGAGCGGGGAGGCGGGGAGAAGGGAAGGGGGGAAGAGGGAGGGAGACGGGGAAGGGGGAAACGAGCGCGCGGTGGAAGGATGTCAGGCAGACCACAGCGGGTGCATGAACGGCGTGGGTGTTGTTAGAGGGCATGTTCTTAGTTGACTCAACGAATGGGCCAAGATCCAGGACAGGGGCAACTGAAAAGAGACGACAGATGGTGGCTGTTTGGAAATTGAGCAGGGCAGCGGAGATAAGCAAAGGGAATGATAGTTTTGTGTATAATTGTATAAGGCGGAGGCAAGAGAGAGCGACTCACGATAGGTCCGTTCTTGAGCGCGTGTGCCTTGGCGTACGACACGGCTTGCTTCACGGCCAGCGCATCCATGCCGTCCACCTGCACGCCGCCGCCATACAGACACGATACGGAGCACACGAGCAATGCCGGCTTTGCACAATCAGGAGCACTCGCAATGCAGCGCACCCGATACACCAGCGACGCGTGCCCCTATCACAGCCAACCATCAGATACTCGGACGTGCGGACACTACAGGCATCCATTGCCAGATCCGCACCACCCAATCGCGCATGGTCCCTTTCATCTGTAGCTTAGGCGATGATCAAGGCGATCGCGCGGCGCTACGGGAACCCTCGAGCCAAGCTCGGTGCTAATGCGAGTACCGGAAATCCTGATGCTGACGACGCTCAACGCTGCTCGCGGCTTCCCGTGATAATCGCTTCGTAAATCTCTACGTTCATTCCAAACCAACCAGCAGACGACAGGTGCGGCAATGCTCTGGGATCTCGCAACCCTAGCCACCCCCCTACCAGCCCACTCTAGCGCCAATACTCGTAGGACACCCAACATTGTGCTTTCCCATGCTCAACTGTCCCCATTTCCCAGCACTCTCGCGTCGCAGGCTGGGCCGCTGACCTTAAGGCCGGGGACGTAGTCGCCACGGCAGTAGAACTCGGGGCTCTTGGCGGCGCGCCACTCCGCAGTACCCATGCCGTCTGCGGGGATACGGGAGGATAGCGAGCGCAAGGAGAATCTTGGATGGTGCCGACGGCGATGAGGCAGCATGAGTGGTGCGACCAATTAACAAGATCCGGACTTGACGGGCGGGATCGCGGGCAACTACGCAAGACTTCGCGCTGCGCGGCGCGGCGACTCACGACTCACAGTGGTTGTTCTCGCAGACGAAGATCACGGGCAGATCCCACAGCGCCGCGATGTTCATCGCTTCGAACAGCTGGCCCTGGTTCGCCGCGCCGTCGCCGTACATGGACAGCGTCACGCCCGGCACGTTGCTGTACTTCTGCCCGAACGCCAGCCCCGCTCCCAGCGGCGTCTGCGCGCCGACGATTCCGTTCCCGCCGTAGAAATTCGTCGCCTTGTTGTACATGTGCATGGAGCCGCCCTTGCCCTTGCTGCACCCCGCGACGCGCCCCATGAGCTCCGCGATCACCTCCAGCACGGTGCCGCCGCGGCCGATGTGCGTGCAGTGGTCGCGATAGCTCGTGATGATGCAGTCGTCGTATGTGAGGCCTGCCTCCATGCCCACGCACACCGCCTCCTGCCCGTCGTACAGGTGGCAGAATCCGCGGATCAGCTTCGCCTTGTACAGCGAATCCGAGGAGATCTCGAGGCGCCGCATGAGGAACATGTCGAAGAAGAACTTAATCAGCTCCTTGGGCGTTGTTGTAACGGACGTGGAAGGCGGCTCGATGCGGTGGCCCTTGAACGGCACCGCGATGTCGACCGGGATGGGGGTCTCGTCCGACGCGGCGGGGATGGAGGCGGCGGCGACGGACGTGATGTTGCGCGCGGGTGCGGTGGCGGCGGCGGCGGCGGCGTGGATGGCGGGGGAGAGGCGGGGCTGGGCGCGGGAGCCGAGAAGGAGGCTCGCGCCCTTGAGAGCGGCGGATCGCAGCGCAGATGACCTCGACGCCATGGTGTGCGGTCGGGTTGACGAGACGAGCCGCGAGTTAACAGATTGGCGGAGGCGGATCTGCTGTACTACGCTATGGCCGACTCGCAGGTGGAGCTGCTGGGGCGTGGCGAGATCCAGCAGTAGTGGAGGCACCTCGAACACAACTGCACAGGCGGCAGAGCACAGCACGGGAAATGAAGTCACGAAGGCAGGGTGGCGTTTGGGGGGAGGGCGTCAGCTCTTCGCGCTTGCCTTGGGCATGCCAGGGATCTCGGTTTGTGCGGGACAGAACCGAGGTGGAGGAACTGTCGCATGGAGGGAAGATGACGCTGATCCTGTTACTAATAACTGCATCCGACGGTGCATGTTGCTTGGATGTTATGTCAGCCGCCATCGTACGGCAAAGCTGCTGCCATCTGAAGTGGCGGTTTCGCATTGGATATGTGACCAGCACCTAACCTCATACGCCTGACAATGTGGAGATCTTTTCTTGGTTCGTTCTCCAGCGCTGAGGTGATATCGCTGGAACAAACATTTGTACACTTTTATCACAGTCAAGTTATGCACATCAATAACTCTGAAGAAACAAAAGAGTCGGATCATTCTCATGAAGCTTCGAACGTTGCATGCCTGACTTAGGAGCAGCAAATCATTTTTAGAATGCTGTTGATCCACGCTAGAAAATCACAATGCTCAAGCTTGGCGCACACATGATTGTAGTTCACAGCACCCCACTTGCCGATGTAACCTATGTCAAATGTACACAAGAATCCAGCCTGTTTTTCCTGCAAATGTTGTACTCACCTCTCCCAAATGACTAGTTAGTAGGAGCCGAACTCTGCATGCCAACGCTCATGCCGCTCAATGTCCCCAGACGCGACACTAGGTTGAATCTTCTTGAGCGCGACCTCAAAGTCAGCCATGGTCACAGGCTCATTCATGTCCTCCCGGGTCATGCTACGAATCTCCTCTGGTGTCTTGCCTGCAATCTTCCGCCTCATTCCATTCATTGATGCGTCCCTGCATATGTTGGTGATGTCGTCACCACTGTAGCCATCCGTACGCTTTGCCAGCTCATCAATGTCCACATCCGAAGCCAGCTGAAATATCATGAAGGTGGTAAGAGAAGCTGTATAATCAGGAAATTGCACGATACGATAGAATCATGCTGTGACAAATGCGCACACCGACAATCAGCAGCATGCACAAGACAAACTCAAGGGATCAAAGCAGACAACGGATCACAGCAGGAAAGGCACTGCACATAAAAGACAGGTTGAGCTAGAGTGGGGCCGCACCTCAAGTGAGCGCAAGTTAATGTTCATGAGGGCAGCTCGACTGTCATGCGGTGGCAGAGGGATGTAAATTCGCTTCTCCAGCCGACGGCTGCATGAGAAAGGCAACGGAGTGAATGAGAAGAGCAGCAGATCAGACCTTCCCTCACAGCATTGTCCTTCTGCCAAATGAAAAAAAGGAAGAGTCTCACTTTGCTGAACTCCACGAGCCAACTCAACACCCTCCCCCCCCAACCCCTCCCATCAAACCCGTAGCCACTGCCCCTTCTCCGATCCCCTTTCCCCCTCGTGCCCTCGCGCCTTCCTAAACTGCACCCCATTGCTCACCGCAGCGCCTCATCGAGGTCCCATGGGAAGTTGGTGGCGGCGAGCACCATGACAATCTTGCGCTCGCCATCCGGTGATGCTGCGTTGTTCATGCCGTCAATCTGCACCAGCAGCTCCGACTTCACCCGCCGAGACGACTCATGCTCGCCCGCCGCACTGCAGGAGGATTTCATGAGAGTAGGAGGATGCGAAAAGGAGTGACAGGAGGGAGGGGATAACAGGAAGGGCGAGGGGAACGGGAAGCGGGGTGGGGGGGGGTCGGGGGGAAAGAGGGGAAGTTGGGTGTGGGTCAACAAACAAGCTTGCACTTTGCAGGAAGATAGACGTGCAGAGGATGCCGCAGGACACACTCAACAAAGACATGCATACCACATTGACTAAGTGGAATGCCCTTACCCTCGTGACGTGCAGAGCGAATCGATCTCATCAATGAACACCGTGGAGGGGGCATAAGCACGGGCCATCTCAAAGAGGCAGCGCACCATGCGCTCGCTCTCGCCCCTCCACTTGGACGCGAGCGTGGCGGAGGACACGTTGAAGAACGTCGTGCCACACTCTGTCGCTACTGCCTTGGCCAGCAGCGTCTTGCCCGTCCCTGGCGGGCCAAACATCAGCACTCCCTTCCACGGCCTTCGAATGCCCTGCCGTGGGAACAATGGGAACGAAATGGACCTGTGAGCATGACTACACCGCTTTCACCACTCTCAGATGCTAAAAAAGTGCAGAATTACAAGTCAGTGCTGAGAAGAATGCGGGGGTATTGCCAGGGAAGGGCAGCAGCGGCAATCAGCAGAGCACAGCGAGCTCCCCTCCAACACACTCTAACGCACCTGGAAGTAGTCGGGCATGAGCAGCGGCAGCACAACAGCCTCCTCCAGCAGTCGCTTGGCGTCAGCCAGGCCTGCAATGTCCCCCCAGCGCACGCCAGGCGACGACTCCAGCACGTCCCTCTCCAGCATGGCCACCAGCTCGGGGTCCGACCCCTCAAACCGTGGCTTGCGCGGTACCACCTCCTTGCCCTCCTCCTCCTGCCATTCACAGTCACCAGTGAGATTGATCAGCGTACGATGCAGCAATGAATGCGCAGGCTAAAACGAGCCAGACGCAGAAAACGAAGGACCAACCACACAAGAGTGAGACAAATGACAAGAGGCAGTGAAAGCACTGGTACACGCGCCAGGGAATTGATGTAAGAACATGATCCGGCAATAGAAAGTCCAGAAAGCAGCTCTGTGACGGCATTGCGAAGAGAGGGTCGTACCGATGGTGGGTCGCTGGGCGGGCCTTTAGGTTCCCTGGGCTTGCCAACAGCGCTGTTGATCACAGCACCCACGGACACTCGCCTGTTCCGCGCGTCGGCCCCTCGCTCCGCCCCTGCTCGTTTCGATGCTTGCGCATCCGAACCTATGCTATTACGCGACCCTGCGCCTCCTATGCGTGATCGCACACCAGCTACCCCGCCAGGCGTCGTTTTACTCGCACTGGCACCTCCCTGCATACCAGGCGACCGGCCAAACGACCCGGGGGAGGTTCCTCGGCTGCTCTGCCTGCTGCCGCTGTCAAAACCGCCGCCTGCTCTCCCGCCTACGCGGCCGACAGCGGACGCACGGCGATTATTGGTGGGGGAAGTGAGGTCCCTGGACGGTGCTGGCCTCCAGACATCTGGATCCTGAGAGCCAAACGGCGCGTCGAACGAGTCGTCGTGGTGCCTGCCGGAAGACACAGGCGAGTGGCCGTTGGTGTAGCGAGGGTTGCACGAGAAGGCTGCAGACCCCGCCGGCTCCTTGAAGACCTGGCGATCGTACTCGAGGCTCTTGGTGAGGTCGAGCTCGTCCTGTACCTGCTTCTTGCAGCTCATCCAGTTGGACCGCGTGTACGGGTCGTCCACGGTCTGGAGGTGCCTGTTATTGTGATAAAACGGCAGGTCAGAAGCACGGGAAAACAGCGAGGAACAGAGAACCATCTGAGGTGATTTTCTGCCTGGTAGTCAGACGCTATGGTGACGAAGGACTAGTGAAGAAACCTAGAAGAGAGGCTGGTAGCCGAATCAATAAGACGCAAAACTACAGAACTTCCAGGGAATAGGACACGTGTAGACTTGAATTCCTGCGTGGATTACTCATGGCCTCCAAACTACTCGTGTGTACATCCTCACTTGTTTATTTGCGAAATGACCCCATCGTAATATATCAGCGCGCTGTCGTAGTTTCCAAGCGTGGCGTGCTCCCTTGCAACCGTCAGCTGATCAACGACCCCCTTTAACGCCATCGAGTACACACAGCCACCGTCGCTAAGCACAGCTATATCGAGAACGAGACAAGGAGCCTAACCTGCCATAATAGTCGTGCCTGTCAATGGATCCACTAGAACGATAATACCTATCGGAAAATCCTATGTCCTAAGCCTAACAATAGGATACGAACTAAGGGAATACTACACAGGAATGTTGTTGCAACCTTGAAGCTGTCATAGGATGGTTCAGGCACTATCAAGGCCAAATCTGGGATGATGATGAACTGAGGAACTCAAAATTCCCTCCCAGTCTTCCAAGGCAAAGGCAGGGACAAACTGAAAAGGGAACCCCCACTGACAAACTGCCGTGTCGCTTCAACTCTGACACAAGCGAAGGGGCAAGACAAGAACCTCCCTGCTGTGTGATTCGCTATGAAGAGGTACACTCATGGCGAAGACAATAATACGATGAAGTGTACTTTTCGAGGAAGTCCCGTTGGGTTCGAGGGAATTTTGGCAAGGTTTGGGGATAACGGAACTGGATGCGTGAGCGACACGGATTTTGCGACTCCCAATGTCGCGTAAGACACATGCGATGTGCGACTCCCATGCGCCACATGTTGGCGGTGATGGGTGAACGGACCATCATGATTGGTGCATCTATCAAAACTTTTGTCACAAGCAACAGAGGGCGTTCGGCTTCGGCGACATACATCCAGCCAGTACTGGTATAAAGCCCGAGTGGCACTCCCCTTCATTCCCCTTCCCCTTCCATTTTCTCTTTCACACCTCGTCCAACCCCAGTTTTTCCACTAGAATTCCAGAATTCCTGCAGGGGCGCCTTCTCTGCTCTAACCAGCGCTGCAAACCCTATTCCTTCAACTTCCTTCAAGCTTATCGCAGCGCCCCCTGCTACCACCATGGTTTGTCCTCTATCGCCGTAGAAAGCTCGTCTATGTCAATCTTTGGTTCCGTTCGTAGTGTTTCACATGATCCCGATATCGTGCGTCATTGGATCCTGTTGGAATATTACTATGCTTTTCTTTCTATTCCTCGGTTGCGTTTAGGGCCTCCTGTGCGCTAGCTGTATTGCCGTGCCTTTGGAATACAGGGGCACAGTTAGTAGCCTTAGATTTCTCAATAGGCACGATGTAAAGCCGACTGAGCAGCCTCTTTCAGTGCTGCAGCAAACTTGCTGAGATTTCAAGTGGGAAAATTAGTTTGCTTTGATCAAAGTCCAGGATGAAAGCGCTGCTGTCCGCTGCGTCTTTCACTTACATGAATGCACCATGCTTACCTTCCTGTGCGTGCAGGTGCTATCTAACGACATTGATCTGCTTCACCCACCAGTGGAACTGGAGCAGCGCAAGCATAAGATGAAGCGACTGGTTCCCACGCCCAACAGCTTCTTCATGGTCAGTCGCATGCGCGAGTATCACTTTGATGTACTTCTGAAATGCTTCCGACAGGCACCTCGTCTGGCCATACGACCTATTTATCTGTTGGTCGATTTTCGTGTGCACCTGTTCATCTAGACCTGCAAACCGCAATATGATTGATTTTTCTCCCCTCCCAATCTACCCGTGTACCTCAGGACGTCAAGTGTCAAGGCTGTTTCAACATGTAAGTTTGGTCCCTGCATTTCTCGTTATTCAACCCCCTCATTTCCACCACGCGTGCTTCTGCATGTTTGATTTATTTTACCCCTTACCCAGGTATTTTCTCCACTTCTTTGACCGTATGTTGGCTTTGCAGCACAACTGTGTTCAGTCACTCGCAGACGGTGGTGCTATGTGGCAGCTGCTCCACTGTGCTGTGCCAGCCCACCGGTGGCAAGGCCCGCCTCACAGAAGGCTGCTCCTTCCGCAGAAAGGGCGACTAAATTGCAATTTCTCAAGTCTCCATGTCCATACACCTCACTGCGGTTGGGTTTGGATGATTCATGTGTAAATCTGATGTCTTAGCTTACAGGAAGTTGCAGTTTTAGCTTTGTCACTGTTGTACATTTTGCAAGTAGTAGAATGGCTTGTCTTGGGCTCTTGGCTGAGCCACCAATTCAAGTCTGACATTGTTGCACAATACCCTTGTAAACTGAGGATTGAGAAAGCTTGCTTCTGTCGCAATTGGCATCGTTCTCATTACAATGGGTTCAAGTACAACAGTTCCTAGCAGTTATACTAATATACTATCACATCCAAAATGTCTAAGAACTACTACTCTCATAAGCTGACTAGCCTGGGGAGGGTGGGTGGGAATTGAACTTGAGCGATTGTAAAATGAGAGACGTGGGTGGGGGAAGAATGACCCCAGCCCACATTATATATTCGGAGAAGGCGAATACCGCGCTTCGACGATGCACAAAATTGCGTTACAGTCAGCTTCGCTTTCACAATACGCAAATTTGAAAGCGATAAAACGCTTAAAATTTTTTTATTTTTCATCATGAAAGCTGCTACATGTTTGACAATTGTACATACCAATACTTACCCGTAATCACCCGGACAAAACATCCCCCCGTAATAGTACACCCCCGGGTAGCTTGTGCGGGGGGGGTGCTATAGCCGACCTCGTTTGTACTATACCCCCCTTTTTGGGATGATTCTCTATAACACCCCCCTTTTCTTATGAAACATGTCAAATGTTGTAGCCTATAGTGAGGTTTGTCTTAGGGGGTACAAAACTTAGGGTTAGCTATATGTACCCCAACCAACATCAATGCATCATCCATTCTTCATTCTGACATGGTATCAGAGCGGTTAGGATCCTGTGGGATCCCGTTCCGCCGTTCTCCGTTCGTACCACCCGAGCCTGATCCTAGCTCTCGTTCGTCTCCTTCTCGTTGTTACCGAGCCTAGCGCCGAGCCACGCTCTCGTTCGTAGCGTAGCCCGCCCCCAGAGGCAGCACCAACACCAGCTCCAGACCCAGGCTCTCCAGAAACCGAAGGGACACCCTCACCCCCAGACGCAGCACCCCCAGACTCCGCACCAGCACCCCCAGACTCCGCACGACCAGTACCAGCCCCCGGAAGACAAGAGTCCTCTGCAACCCGCGGCTCAGCTCCAACTCCAGCACCCCCAGAACCAGAGACCTGTACAGGGACAGTCGCAGGACCAACCTCTCGAGAGGGAGCACCTGCAGGAGGCGGCGAGGAAGACTGTGGGGAGGGAGGCTGTACAGGGGGGGCTACCGAAGGGGGAGGGCTAGCCTGAGACACACCAGACGGGGCTGGACCAGGGGGGGGAGGCTGTACCGGGGGAGCAGGCATGGGAGCGGCGGTCAGGAAGAGAGGGGGGGGAGGGACCGGGAGACCTCGACTGGGGTACCTGACGTAGTAGGGGGTGGACTCCTCGAAACGGACGTCACGGGAGTCAAAGAACCGGTGAGAGGGAGGGTGGTAAAAGGTGAAGTCAGAGGAGTCCTCAGGGAAACCAAGGAAGACACAAGGAACGGCGCGAGGCGAGAGCTTGTCCGCGGAGGTGTCGCGGACAAGAGCCAAGCACCCCCAGACACGAAACCTCGACGCGACACCAGGGGACCCTGTCACTGACTACTACCGCACGTACCGTCCTGTTCTCTCTCGTGTTCTCGCCTCTCTTGTTACCCACCCTCGTGCCTCTGTGTCCTCTGTGTCCGCTCTTACTGCCGCAGTCACTGAGTTTGCCTCTACCCGCCGCCTTGACTTCGCCACCGCTCTTGTGGCTGCTCCTCCTTCCAGTCCTCTGGCCGTCGGGGGTGTGTCTGCCCTTGGCAGTGACGCCCTAGAGGACAGGCAGTTTGAGCTAGAGTTCCTGGCCGCCGCTTCCCCTCATCTCTGTGCCATGCTCCTCGCCCCTGAGGGTGACCCCGACGCCCTTGACATTCCGACTCCTCGCACTTACGCTGAGGTGTTGAGATAGCTAGGCAAGGTAAGTTGACTATCGAGAGAAATTTTACAAGTAGGAAAACCCTAAGGGGTTATCCCCTATAACATCTACCCCACTACAGCCTACCAATATGTATCACATATATATATCATTTGACACACCCCCATAGGCAAAGTGGGGGAGAGCAATGGGTCACAAGACCAGTCAAGAGAAACAAAACAAGCTCAGGGTGGATCACAACGTCACCACACATTCTGAGCACAAGCAAATGGCCACAAGGCCAGTTCACATGCAGAGATATATATGCAGCAATGACAGTACAGTGTCGAGCTACCTAGCAAGAGCCAGCATGCAGGTATATAGGTATATAGATCACAGTACAAGCAAAGACTACAGCAAGTGTGGAAGCATAGGCACAAGGCCTAACAGAGTACAAAAGCGCTGATGATCACCAGACGGAAGTGCCTTGGTGAATATATCAGCAGTGTTGGCCCGAGTGGCCACGTAACGAAGACAAAGCTGGCCTCGCTGCTGCAACTCTCGAGCCAGGAAGTAACGCAGAGCAATGTGCTTCGTTCTGTGCTCCAGTCTGTGCTCCTCACACAAGGCAATGGCGGCCTTGTTGTCAACGTACAGCACTGGAGGAGAACGAGGCTGCTCTCCCAAGTCAGTCAGCAGGTAGGTGAGCCAGCGTAACTCCTGTGCAGCCATGGCGGTGGCGTAGATCTCAGCCTCACAACTGGAGCCAAGAACTGAAGACGAGCGTGTAGAACGCCACGAAACTGAACCAGAGCCAAGGCTGAAGGTGTAACCCTGTGACGACCGCTGAGTAGCCAGGTCGTCAACCCAAGAAGCGTCTGAGTGCCCAGTGAGGACAACTGGGCTCGTCCCTCCAAGCACTAGCCCCATGCCTGATGTGCTGCACAAGTAGCGCAGTACCCTCTTAGCAGCAGCCATGTGCTCAGGTCGGTGTCGACCAGGAGCCACGTAGCGAGCGAGGAGACCAAGAGGGTACGCGAGGTCAGGTCGAGTGCAAGTCATCAGGTACATGAGGCAGCCGACTAGCTCTGGGTAAGGACCACTCGGCTCTACGGACTCGTCCGAAGGTGGAGCTGAGAGCGTGTGACCTGTAGCCAGAGGAGTGGCCTGTGCTGAAGACCAGGTGAAGCCGAAGCGCTGAAGGACCTGCTGCACCATGTGTGACTGAGTCAAGGTGATGGTGCGGCGTGCTCTGTCCCGGGTGATCTGCAAGCCAAGGTAGCTGCGCAGCTCACCCAAGTCAGTGCACGTGTGTCTCTTCTGTAGCTCCGACTTCACGTGGGCGAGAGCCTCAGTGTCAGCAGTGGCAAAAACCAAGTCGTCGACGTACACGAGGATGTAGAACGGCGGCAGTGAAGTGTCTGTGCGCAGAAACAGCGACGGGTCAGCAGTAGAAGGCGCAAACCCAAGAGCCGCAAGTGTCGTCCTCAGTGTGTCGTGCCACTCACGTGGCGCCTGGCGGAGACCGTAGACCAGCCGTCGGAGGCTCCACTGGGTGCCAGGAGGGAACGACCCAGTGAAGCCCGGGGGGCGACGCAGCCAGATCTCCTCGTGCAGGCTGCCCTGTAAGAAAGCAGTGCTGAAGTCAAGAGAGTGAAGCTCGTAGTCACGGTGAGCAGCAACGTGCAGCAGCACCCGAAGAGTGGTCATCTTCGGGGTGGGAGAGAAGGTCTGGAAGAAGTCAACTCCCTCTCGCTGACTGAAGCCTCGAGCCACGTAACGCGCCTTGAAGACAGGCGGAGAACCCGGCGGCCGCTTCACCCTGAAAATCCACATGCCACTGACGATGTTCGCCCCAGGTGGGGGAACCTCGTCGACATAGGTGCCTGTGGACTTCCAGGAAGCCATCTCTGCGTCCATGGCTGCCTGCCACTGAGAGGAGTAGGGACTCTCTATCGCCTCTGCGTAAGAGCGCGGAGTCGGGATGTCTGGTGCATCCGGGTCTCCCTCAGGGGCAAGTAGCGAGGACACAAGATGAGGTAAAGCAGCAGCAAGACACTGGAACTCCTCCTGCCTGTCCTCAAGGACGTCCGTGCTAAGAGCACACTCACCCCCGACGGACGGAGGACAGACAGACGCAGACGCAGCAACAAGACTGGCGGCGTAGTCTAGACGACAGGCAGCAGCAAAGTCAACAAGCTCAGCGACAAGAGCAGACGCAGCAGTAGACTCAAACGACGGGTCAGTGACAACAGTGGCTAGCAGACGCGTGACAGTAGGGTGCTCAGCACGAAACCGGTCAGACTCAGGGTCTGGAACGTCAGGTAGAGAGGACGCAGGAGGAGACGGAAGAGGAACAGGCTGCAGAGCAGAGGAAGGACGACGAACTACAAGGTGTGTGCTGGGGACAGCCTGCTGACGCGAACGAGGAACACGACGACCGGGACGAGCAGGCGAGACAGGACGCGACACAGGCTCACGACGCTCAGCAGGACTACCAGTCTGCTCAGTGTAAGGAGAAGGAGCAGGCAGCGGTGAGCCAGGCTGTAACGGAAGACCAGTAGACGACGGGAGAGTAAGAACCTGACGAAGAACAGAGTCAGACGGCGGCAGAGACGACGGAGACGGCGGAGCGAAGAACAGTCGTGTCGGCGCAGCTGCATCAGTACCGGCAGCTCCAGCAGCTCCAGTACCCCCAGCAGCTCCAGTGCCTCCAGCAGCTCCAGAACCTCCAGCAGCTCCAGAAGCTCCAGTCCCAGAGTCGTCACCTCCAGTCCCAGGGTCTCCAGCCCCTGTGTCTCCAGCAGTAGCACCCCCAGAACCAGCACCCCCAGTCCCAGGGTCTCCAGCCTCAGTGTCACCAGCAGCAGCACCCCCAGAGCCAGCACCTCCAGTCCCAGGGTCTCCAGCCTCAGTGTCTCCAGTACGAGTACCTCCAGAACCAGCGACTCCAGCACCTCCAGTAGACAAAGGTCCAGCACCACTCCTAGCTCCAGCAGCGCGACGCTGACGGTGACCGTACCAGTCCTGGAGCTGCTGTGGGGTGAGAGGCACACGTGGACGAAGGCGGCTACTCCAAGGAGACCGCGCAACAGCAGACTCAGAACCCTCAGCGCCAGCACCCCCAGCTGCTCCAGAACCTCCAGCGCCAGCACCCCCAGGCTCCTCACGCGTAGGCTCAGTACTCGCAGACTCGGCACCCGCAAGCTCAGCACCTCCAGGCTCCTCACGCGCAGGCACAGCACCCTCAGACTCGACACCCCCAAGCTCAGCACCGCCAGGCTCCTCACGCACAGGCACGTAGGTATAGCTGTAGGGAAAGTAACTCATGAGTAGGTGGGCCCCAATCTTAGGTCCTTAGGACCATTGCTCTAGATGCCATGTTGAGATAGCTAGGCAAGGTGAGTTGACTATCGAGAGAAATTTTACAAGTAGGAAAACCCTAAGGGGTTATCCCCTATAACATCTACCCCACTACAGCCTACCAATATGTATCACATATATATATCATTTGACATGAGGCAGTGTCAGGGCCTTGGGCCTCTCAGTGGAGAGCTGCCATGGACGCAGAGATGGCCTCCTACAGATCCACAGGCACCTACGTCGATGAGGTTCCCCCTCCGGGGGCGAACGTAGTTGACGGCATGTGGATCTACAGGGTGAAGCGGCCACCGGGATCTCCTCCGGTCTTCAAGGCGCGCTACGTGGCTAGAGGTTTCAGTCAGCGCGAGGGAGTTGACTTCTTTCAGACCTTCGCGCCCACCCCGAAGATGACCACTCTTCGGGTGTTACTACACGTAGCAGCACAGAGAGACTACGAGTTACACTCTCTCGACTTCTCTACTGCTTTCCTTCAGGGCAGTCTTCACGAGGAGGTCTGGTTGCGTCGTCCCTCTGCCTTCACTGGCTCTTTCCCTCCTGGGACCCAGTGGAGGCTGCTCACCAAGATCCACCATTACACTTTCACAGTCGCACATGGTGCAGCAGGTCCTTCAGCGGTTCGGGCTTCAGCACTCCACAGTACAGCGCACACCTCTTGCTGTTGACCACAGACTCACTGGACCCTTTCCTGACGAGCCGTTCGAGCCTAGTGGTCCCTACGCAGAGCTTGTGGGTTGCCTCATGTACCTGATAACTTGTACTCGCCCGGACCTCGCCTTCCCTCTCAGCGTTCTTGCGCGCTTTGTTGCGCCAGGGAGACACCGTCCTGTTCACTGGACAGCAGCTGTGAGGGTGGCGAAGTACCTAGCGACGACATCAGGCGTGGGGCTAGTTCTTGGAGGACAGCAGTCTGTCGTACTTACTGGTCACTGTGACTCCTCTTACGCTGACGACGCTGAGACTCACAGGTCTACTCAGGGGTACTGTTTCAGCCTGGGTTCTGGAGCTGTTTCCTGGCGGTCCACGCGCTCCTCTTCGGTCTCGACCTCTACAGCTGAGGCTGAGATCTACGCTGGTGCCATGGCGGCACAGGAGCTGCGTTGGTTGACCTTCTTGCTCACCGACCTTGGTGAGCGGCCGAGCTCTGCACCGACCTTGTTCACTGACAACAAGGCATCCATTCTCCTTTGTCGAGAGCCGCGACTGGAGAGCAGAGTGAAGCACATTAACGTCAGGTACTTCCTTCTGCGAGAGTTGCAGAGGCGTGGACAGGCTCGCTTTGAGTTTGTGGAGTCAGAGGCCAACACTGCAGACATCTTCACCAAGGCACTTCCGCCTTGTGACCACCAGAGGTGCTGTGTGCAGTTAGGCCTTGTTGACACTGGTTCTCGTGTTGCTTAGACTTGAGTGTACTGTTTACTTTGCTTTCTATATATCTCTGTTACTTCTTGGACTGGCCTTGTGGCCACTGTTGTTTGTGCTCAGACTGTGTGGTGACGTTGTGATCCACCCTGAGCTTTGTTTCTTGGACTGGTCTTGTGACCGTACTCGTTTGGTTCTGCTAGACACCCCTCACTTAGGCTATGGGGGTGTGTCAAATGTTGTAGCCTATAGTGAGGTTTGCTTTAGGGGGTACAAAACTTAGGGTTAGCTATATGTACCCCAACCAACATCAATGCATCATCCATTCTTCATTCTGACAAAACCCTATTATAGCTGTTATCGAGTCAGATTTTTTACGGGAGGATATGACGAAAATTGTCAGAGGTCCACTGGTGATCCCCGATTGATCCTAGGGAAGGGTTACAGGCATGGCGGCCTGGGGGGTTATGGGCGCACTCACCCGCTACACAAACAAGCCCTTTTATCCCAGTGGTTAGTGGCTGGGATTCTGACATGGTATCAGAGCGAAGGTCTCGGGTTCGAATCCCGGTGTGTGCACCTCGGGCATCCCAGTGCGGGGGGGTGTCAGAGGTCCACTGGTGATCCCCGATTGATCCTAGGGAAGGGTTACAGGCATGGCGGCCTGTAACCCTTCCCTAGGATCAATCGGGGATCACAAGTGGACCTCTGACAAAAATCGCTTCCTGAATAAAATTTCGCGTGCAGTTTCCTTTCGAATCTTCCGAGATTCCCTCCCTTCCACAATCTCGCTGTCGCCACGCTGGCGAATCTTCCGCTGCACGTGGCCCGAGAGGTGAAACTCACATTCTCGCCAAAACGCGAATTCTCGCCTCAACCTGTGATGTTAAAACGACTATTGAAACACCCAAATTGTCTAATTAAACTTTTTTCTTACACTAAAAAGTGCCATATATAACCACCCGGGTATTATATAGGATTTTCCGTTGAGAGCACCCCTCCCCTTTTTTCCCTGTGGTTATCATAATACCCCCGGGTGTTATGTCCGGGTGATTACGGTATTTGGTAATAGCAGAACTAGCAAATACACTACCGTTCTTCATAGCAGAACTACCGTACGCTCACATCTACCCGTTTCCACCTTTATCTCCTGCTCCACGACGGCATCCGACGGCTGGAAATGCTCATAGCATGGCTGGCAATGATGTTCCCTGCACTGCCATCCCCATAGCTGAGAGCCCTTGGGCTTGACGCCGTAACACGTGATGCAGCAGCCGAGGGACTTGTGCCTCTAGCAGTGGGGCTGTGGCCGTAGTACGAGGGAGCAGTGGGGCTCTGGCCATACACTGACACTGCTCTAGGGCTCTGCCCATAGTACCCTGTTGCTCTGGGGCTCTGCCCATACACCCCTCCCGTCCCTGCTGCTCCCATGCCTCCTCCATACATTCCACCAACTGCCATTCCCCCGCCTAAACTTCCACCTGCAGCATAGCCTGCCCCTGGTGCGGCAGCACTGGCGGCCCCTGTGCTGCCTGCCCCTGCAACGCCTGCAAGAAAAGCCGCTGCTCGAGGGCTCTGGCCAAAGCGCGGGGGGCTCTGCCCGAACGCCCCTGCTGCCGCTGCTGCTGCCGCTGCTGATGCTGGGCTGCCCGACTGTCGCCCATACGGTGGAGGACTTTGGCCATATCCCCCCGCTGCTGCAGCTGCTGCCATGGCCGCCGCTCCTGCAGTGGAGCCGTGCGAGTGGGCGTGATGGTGGTGGTGGTTGTATGGGGACGTGCTGGGGTGATGCCCTGCTGCTGTGTGGAAGGGCGAGGAGGATGACGAGCCGTGGGAGGGAGCAGTGGGGCTGTGGCCTGCGGCAGCAGCAGCCGCGGCAGCAGCAGCAGCACTGTGTGTGGGAGTGGTCATGCCCATGCTCATGTTCATGTTGTTCCCAGCGTGGTGCGGGCTGTTGCCGCGCAGAGCAGCGCTCGTGATCATACTCCCAATGTCAGCCGCCTTGGGACTGGCAGCTGTGGGTGAGAAGCCACTGCGGGGGCTCGCACTGCGGTAGGAAGCGGAACCAGAAGGAGCAACAAGGCCACCACCATACGCACTGCCAGCGCCGGTGGCTGCGGCGCCGGTGAGGGGCGACGTGGGGTCGATGTGGCGCGGGGAGGAGAGGGCGAAGCGCGGGCTGGTGCGCGCTGCTGCGTCGGTGAGTGCGCGCGCAGAGGACCACGAGGGGCTTGTGTCCCGCACCGCTCGCGGCGTGACTGCCGGCCGCCTTGCCACCCAGTCCTCCCTCTGCATGGGGCGAAAGGGCGGGGATGGGAGAGGAGATGGGAGAGAGGGGATGGGAGGAGATACAAGTCATGAATCTACTGCTCGCGTTGTTCATGCAGCCCCACTGTAAAAAATACTCACTCATTACATGCCATGGCACAGCGTGGCGCCAATTCCTCCCTGCCCCCCCCCCCCCCCCCCCCCCCCTTCCCCCCCCCCCTTCCGCATGCACTTAGACTCACGAGGCAGGGGTCCTCGCTCTCGAGCATGTGCATGACTTGCATGGCATGGCATGGCATCCCATCACCCACCCCCCCCACCCCCCCTCTCCCCCCCCACACGCACACACACGTACCAGGCAGGGGTCCTCGCTCTCGAGCATGTGCACGACTTGCTTCATCTTGGGGCGCTTGAGCGCGTTGGGCTCAAGGCAGCGCAGCGCCACGCCCACCACGTACGTGGCGTCCTCTATGGCCACCGGCACCGCTGCGCTGCCCCCCATGTCCGCCGCACACAGCCGCACGTCCACCATCTCCAAGAACCGCCCCTCCGCTGCCATCTGCTTCGCCCACTTCACTAGGTTCGACTGGGGGAGGGAGAGAGGGGCGGGGGGAATAGGGATGAGGGGTGCATGAGAGAGAACATTGAGATGGGTGTGGGGGCATGTCCGCCGCACACAGGCTCGGATCCACCGTGTCTAAGAAGCGCCCCTCGCTCGCCATCTGCTTCGCCCACTTCACTAGGTTGGACTGGTGGGGACGAGTGAGGGGGGCAAGAGTGAGGGGGGCAAGAGTGAGGGGGGGAAGCGTGGGAAGGAGCATTCAGATTGGTGTGGTGAGAGTGGAGTGGTGATGGAGCGGAGAGAGCAAGAAAGGACTGCCAGGAAAGGGGGGCGTTGGGGGCTCGAGGGGGGTTTTGCCGGTGATAATGATGAACGGATTCATGGCACGCGGTGGTGGTGGTGAGACAGTGCAACAGAGATGCAGCAAGTGGATGGTGGTGGTACCTCGTGAGAGGGGCGCTGGCTGTCGATGGGTCGTCGGCCCGTGATGATCTCGAGCAGCAGCACTCCGAAGCTGTACACGTCACTGCGCTCCGTCAGCACGCCCGTGTTCATGTACTCTGGCGCCATGTACCTGCATCCATGGCGGCAGGAGAGGAGGACAGGAGGAGCACGGGCAGGAGTGAGGCGGTTAGTAGGGGTTCAGCAACTGACACCAGGGAGCACAGGAGCACAGGAGAGCGCGAGAGCAGGGTGAGGAGGCGTGAGGAGCAGCGATGGAGCAGCAGCAGCGCACTGACCCGAAGGAGCGCAGGGCGTGGCGCGCGGAGGAGTTTTTGGGGTCGCTGCCGACGATGCGTGAAAAGGCGAAGTCGCAGAGGCGCGCGTCGCAGCGGTGGTCCAGCAGCACATTGGCTGCTCGCACATCGCTGTGCACCACCCGCACATCGTGCAGGTACGCCAACCTGGGGGTGTAAGGAGAAAGGGAAGGGGAAGGGGGAGATGGGGGATGAGTGGTGCGAACGGGAGGGCTGTCGCTGCGCACGTCGCTGTGCACCACCCGCACGTCGTGCAGGTACGCCAGCCTGGGGGGGGAGGGAGAGAGGGGGGAAGCCGGGGGAGATGGGAGGGGAGGGAGGGAGGGAGGGCGGCGCATGGGACGGAGAGGGAGAGGAGGGAGGAACAGAGGGAAAAAGAGTTGAAGAACGAAAGGACCAATCCAGTGTGTCAGATGAGCGGTGCGAGGAACTGGGAGGGGGACGGCCAATGGGGAGGGCAGTTCTCTCCCTTATGAGAATCGTCAAGCATCTCACTATCCCTCACTCCCCCTTCACACCCTCCTCTCCCATCCAACCTCGTCCTCCAACCCCTCCCTTTGCCCCCACCTCTCTCCACTTCTTGCGCTATAGCTTATCAGCACTCACCCTTTCGCGCATCCCACGGCGACGTGCATCCTCATCGGCCAATCAATGGCCTCCATCTGCGCCCCGGCGTTGGCTGCCAGCGTGGCGTCGTCAGGATGCAGCCACGTGTCCAGGTCGCCGTTCGCCGCATACTCCGTCACGAGCATGCGCTCCGCGCCCCCCGCGGAGGCGCCGTCCGCGGGGTCCGCGCAGCACCCGCCGATGAGCGCAATGAGGTTGGGGTGGCGCAGCGTCGCCAGTGTCTCCACCTCGAACCGGAACTCGCGGGGACTCTGGTCGGGACTGGTGGGGGAAGCACGGGGGGGAAAAGGGGGAAGGAGCCGGGGGAAGGGTGGCGGGGGGAGGAGAGAGTGGAAGGGGGGTTGGAGAGGGGGTTTGAGGGGGGGGGTGAAGCGGGGTGTCAATACACTAGTTGACGAAGTGACCATGTGGTGTGGAGCGGGGTACAGGAACATAGCATGGATGCAGTGAGCAAAGAGTGACGCGCACTGCGCTGAGCGGCCTACTCACTTGTACTGCGTGAGTCGTTTCACGGCAGCCGTGCTGCCGTCCGCCAGTCGCGCGCGGTACACCGTGCCGTACCGCCCCGTGCCCACCACGTTGCGCTGCGCGTTGCGCCCGAACTCGTTCGTCGCCATGGCCAGCTCGCTCACGGAGAACCACCGCAACTCGCCCCCCGCCGCGCTCAATCCGCCCCCCGCGCTCACTACGCTCCCCGCCACACTGCCGTCGTCGGATTGCGTCGCGATGCCATCCGAGCCGTTGATTCTCGCCATCGGCGGCAGCGGCAGGTCTGCGGCATGAGCACCGGCGGAAGCAGCGGAACCGCCTGCGCCCATCTCCCCCCTGTCGCCCGCGCGCCTGTCCTCCGCATCCTCCACGTCCGCCGCTCTCAGCGCCCGCCCCGCCGCGCCGTACGCGGGGCGGAGGCCCGCCAACGCCGCCGTTGGCGCCGACGCAGGGGGAAGGCCAGGCGGAGGTGGCAGCGGGTCTACAGCTGCGGCGGCCGCTGAAGGGGGGAGCCGGAGCGCGTCGTCGAGCGGGAGATGCGGTGCCGACTGCTGCTGCTGCGGTGACGTGGCGGCTGCCCTCGCCGCTGCGGCGGCGGCGGTGCCCGTCATTCCCGCGCCTGTTATACCTGTTGCGGACGACACTCGGGGCATGGCGGCGGTAGCGGCGGAGGAGCGCGACGCGGCGGGGAGCGAGCGGAGCGAGGGGAGGGGAACGACCGGCGGGATGATCACGGGAGGATGCTGCATTGGCGACAGCACAGTTGGCACGCCCTGATTGGTCCGCGGAGCTATCACAGGGCTAGCTGGATCCTGCACTCCCCCTCCTGCCTGCCCTGCTGTCGTCATCGCAGAAGCGCCAAGTGCGGTGGCGCCGGCGGCGGCGGGAGCCGCGCCGGTCCTGGCGGCAGCAGCCCACGAGGGCAGGCTCCTCACCCGCTCGCCGCCGCTACTCTCCGCGCACTGCTGCGCGCTCTGCTCCGCCTCACTCTCCGCCTCGTCGCCTTCCCCCCCCTCCACCTCCTCCCCACTCTCCTCGCTACTCGACACCTCTTCCGTCTCCTCCCTCCGATCTGCCCCTTCCTCCCCTTGCGCGTCGTGCGGCGGCGCGCTCGCGTTATTGCCGGCGGCCTGCTGCTCCTTGTGCGACTGCCTCCATCGCCCCAGCAGCTTCGACACAGCAGCGGCAGCGGCGCTGCTAACCGTTGTGCCCGAGCTCTTGCTCTTGCCCTGGCTGCTGCTGCTCTCCGCTGCGCCGCTCGTCGCCAGCACGCCCGCAGCGCCCGCACCTGCGCCCGTGCCCGCCTTGCCAATGCTGCTCTCCGCCGCGCCGCCCTTACCAGCGCCGTCTTTCGCGTCAGCCGCACTACCGCGCCCGCCTTGGGAGGATGTTCTGCTCCTTCCGCTGCCGCTGCTGCACTCACTCCCCTTCTCCTCCTCCTCCTCCTCCTCCTCCTCCTCGCCCTCTGCGCTCGCCACCCCCACGGCCGCCGCTGCGGCGGAGGGGGCGGCGGCGCCCGCGGAGAGCTCCGCCGACGACGAGGACGACGGCGACTCCGCGCAGTGGGTTTCACCCGCCGCAGCGCCATCAGCGCGCGCAGACGCAGCGGGAGCGGCGGCGGTGATGGCGGCAGTCGTTGCAGCGGCAAGGCTGACCGGCGCAGAGCGCGACTCATCGCGCGCGTCCCCACCGCCCTCACTTTCCCCGTCCCGCTCTCCCTCCTCGCTCGATTGCATGCTTCCGCCCTCCGCCGTCCCCTCTTGCGCTTTTCCCCGTCTCTTCCCCCATCCCCCGAAGCTGCCCCCAGAGCTTGCCGCCGATGCTGTCGCAGCGACAGCAGCCGCGTAGCTATCCACCGGCTCCCCGCTTTCCGCGCCATCCGCGCTGCTTGCGCTCGACGTTCCCCTGACTGCCGCGGAGGGCGGGGGAGGTAACGGCGGCAATGTGGCGGAGGGAAGTCGTGACGAGGGCAATGGTCCGACGTCTGAAGTCCACGGAGCGTCATCAGGAGCCGTCTTATTGGCTGCAACGGAGATTACGGCCACCGGAGGCGCGTTGAGCGGTTGGTCCTCCCCGTGCTTCGCGGCGTCGACGGCGCCGCCAGATGCGGCTGCTGCCTTGCTAGACTGGGCCGGCCCGTCTACTATATTAAGGCGCACCTCCGCGGCGTCCTTGGGCGCGTGCGTGTACACTGCGCCGGAATGCTTGCGCGCGGCCTTGCGCCGTCCGCACCACCCCATGCGCCACAGCAGTAGTCCGATGGCCACCGCCAGCAGCACCGCTAACCCCACAAGCACGCCCGCTACAATCACCACCGCCGAGCTCGACCCGCCCGACGCCGCCGTTGAGTTGCTCGATGAGTTATCGGCGGGAGATGCGGCGGGAGACGCGGCGGTAGGCGCGGGGCCTCCATTGCCGGCGGCAGGGGCGGAGTTGGAACCACTCCCGGGAGTGGTGGCGGCCGGAGGTGAGGCTTGTTGCGACGAGCCGGGATCAGCGGCGGGAGGGGCGGGGGACGACGGCGCGGTACAATCGGGGGGGAGTCCCAGCTGCGGGGGACCGCAGAGCGCGAAGCCGGGGCTCTGCGTGAAGTTGAAAGACGCGCCGGTGGCGGAGAGGAAGGCGAGCGACGGGGAGACCTTGCCCGTGAGCTTGTTGCCGTCCACGTGCAGATCGCGCAGCGTCGTCAGCGCGGATAGCGACTCGGGGAGCGAGCCCTTGAAGCGGTTCGAGTTCAGCTCGAGGTATTTGAGCTGCATTGAGTGGAGGGGAAAAGGGAAATGGAGAGGACGAGAGGGGTGCATGGATGATGCAGGGTTGGTGAGGCAGGAATGGGGACAGGCATCAGTTGCAGCTAAAGCCGTATTTGTCAGAAAGTAGTGTAACAGCTGTTGCGATGCAGGGGAGAAGGGAAGGGGGGCGAAAGTGGTGGTGAAGGCGGGAGAGACGTTAGAGGCGGGAGGGAGGGGAGAGGCGAGGAGAAGAACCATGGACGCACCTGCGAGAGGTCGGAGAGCCAGTCGGGAATGGAGCCCTGCAGCTGGTTGTGCGACAAGTCCAGCATCGTCAGCTGCGACAGCGACGACAGCTCGGGCAGCGGCCCGGCGAGCTGGTTAGACGAGAGGAGAAGCGCCTGCAGATTCGCGAGGCTGTTGAGCGACGTGGGCAGCGGGCCCGTGAGCGCGTTGCCCTGCAGGTTGACGGTCGTCACGCCGTACAGCTGCACCAGCTGCTCCGGCACCTGCCCGCCCAGATCGCGATTCGCTAGGTCCACCGCCACCACGTTGTTGCTCGCGTCGCACCGCACGCCCTGCGCGGACGCGCGCGGAACGGGGGGTTCGTGAAGGGGACAGGGAGGGGGGATGGCGGAAAGAGGGGATCGGGGGGAGGGGGAGCTGGTGAGCTGGGAGATTTACATGCGTTGTATGGAATTGCAAGGGAAATGCGATGGATCGGCGATTAGTACTGAAATCCGGCTGTGTTAGTGGAGGAAATTCACTAGGGAATGGATTAAATAAACGGACTGCAAGGGCACGGAAGGGAAGGGCTAGGGGGCGAACCAGGAAGGGAGTGGGTGAGCAGGGATCCTGCTGATTGGTCCACGTGGTCAGCACAGTTCCCGCTGGATCCAATACGCTCTTCAGGGATTCCCAATCAGCGGCTGATGCGGGGCCGGCGCACAGCCACAGCACGATGGCTGCCAGCACGACCGCGTGCCGCACTGCGGGCTCACGGTGTGCCATGTCCTTTGCCGCGACGCGTGATGCGATCTGCTACGGAAAGCCGAACGAGGAGCGCTGTCTTGGAGGGAAGGTCGAGAGATGAGCTACACGGGTCGATGTTTAACCTAGTGTGAGATTAGTTTGGTTGACTCTAGCAGATGTGCTACCTCTGTGATACGACCGTGTATGCGGTGACACATAGCGGAATGTTACTCCTCAAGGACAATTTGCGTCGACCTTGCATGTACCAGTTTGGAAGCGTCGAAACTTTTCTTCGAGAAAATCAGTTTCTTGTTAAAGGCGAATTCAAGTATCTGCCTTCACCTACGCTACTTCGAAACCGACCTGAGTTCACCAATGCAGCTTCTGGATAGAAGGAGCGAAGGGAGGAAGTTGACTGGGAAAAGAGCTTTCCTATCCTTACGCGAGGCGCAGTCAAAGTTGCCCTCGTGGTCTGTATAGGCAGGGCAAGCAACACGAACACAATACGGAATGCATAGAGACGGAGACCAAGGCAGACACATACGAGACTGTAAACGCAATGTCACGTCTTGCTTGGGGAGGCTCGCGCGCACGGCGAGTCACAGTAGCGACATTTGCGCCGCGGTCGGTTCGGGCGTGACCTGACGTGCGGCATGGCGAGCGGCTCGGCCAGCTTGTATGGCTCGTGCTCCCGCAAGAGACGATAGCGAGGCTGCCTGAGCCCCGCGTCGCGTATCTCGCTTTGGTTGACGGCGGAACGCACGGTGCGTTTGGTTGGGCGCTTTCTCTTCCAATCAAATGACTAGAAAGGGGTATGGGCTGCGACGAACCACAGTTAGACAGATCGAACCTTCACTGTGTTGCCTCGGTTGTGACATCCAAGGCCAGACCCATTGCTTGGAGCTTGTGAAAAGCAGGCAGGCTCGGTGAAAGTCAAGGGTGTGCTGGGATTCAAAAGAGTGTGACATGATGGGGCGTAAAGCCTGGGAATTTTGATTACTTACAGTACATATCTATGTAAAGTCTGACATCAAACAGGGATATAGAAACACAAAGTTGTATTATATTTATTAGGAGCAGTTCAGCTCACCAACAACCTTTCAACCGGACTGCTAAGCTTCGTGCCTCAGCAATTACTTGACTGAGGTCCAGATTATTTTGCTTGGTAAGACCATGGCAGAGCAGCAGAACCTCATCCAGCCCTTCACATTCCAGAAGAGCTTCCCTTTGCGAACAGATAAGCACCACCATCACAAACAAAAGCAGGCTTCCTGTTGGTGGTCCCAACTCCTGTTCCCCTCCTTCATCAGCGTCGCCAGCCTGCTGCTGATCCTGTTCTTGCACCTCGTCTGAAATATTTTGGGAGACCACAGGCACACAGCCATGTGGCCCACTTCCATCCACACGGGAATCACTTGTTGCACATGCCTTGCCGCCATGGGGTATAACAGCCATGCCCCTCCTTTGTTGCCCGTTGCCATACCCACTCCTCCCATCCATGCAACCCGCTGCACTGATGTTCTCCTTATGATCATCGCATCCAGGCAACTCATCACTCACCCCTGATCCGCCCACTAGCTGCTTCCTCTCCTGATATTCATCCGCCTGCTCCTCCCCCCTCTCCTCGTGTCCCCCCTGCGCCATGGAAGCAGCGAGGGCGTCAGCCCAGCACACCTCCCACAGCATGAGTGTCTGCGGCAGGGGCAGGTCGCGCCGCATGCCCACCACCACCATGCGGTACGCAAACAGACAGTCCCCGCCGCCCATGTCGCGCACGTGCCCGTGCAGCTCAGGGTCGGCAAGGCGGAGAATGCGGCCCAGTGCTGCCAGCTGGCGGTGAATGCCCGACTCGTCCAGGAGGAAGTTGAGCCGCATGCCGTGCAAGTCAGGGGTGGCTGGGCGAGACAGTGTGGATGGAGGGAGAGGGCGCACTGGGGTGGTTGTGGTGTGGCGGAGGGGGATGGCTCGGGGGGGCGGGGTGAGTGGAGACGGCATGGTGGAGGGGCGTGGTGAATGGTGCAGTGGCTCCTTTTGCAAGCTCACCCCCCGTCTGCAGCTGCCAGTGTTGCCCACACCCGAACCACCCACTGAACCAGTGACAGTGCTTCTCACCCTCCTGTCCGCCGCGTGCCCAGGCGCGCTCATCCCATCACCAGGAGACCAGTGCACGCTGCTATGCTGCTGCGGGTGCATGCACTGGTGGGTATACATGTGCGGGTGGTATTGCGGCTGCTGCAGCAGCTGCTGCTGCTGCTGCTGCTGAGCGCTGGTGGCAGTGGGGCACGGGCACAATGGCAGCGCCCAGCCTGCGCACCCCGCCTTGCGCCTTGGGGCTCCACCTCTGTGCGGGGTGCATGGAGGCGGAGGAGGAGGGGGGAGGAGGCCGCGGAGGGGAAGAGAGAGTGGGAGGCAGGAGGGCCCAGCGACCGCAGACTCTGAGTGGAGTGGGAAGGGGAGTGGCGTAATGAGAAGCGGGAAACAGAGAAGGGCGAGGAGGTGGAAGGGGGTGGAGAGGGGGAGGCGGCGGACAGCTGGCGATAAGCCGCGCCTGCATGGTTGGTGCTGCAGCTGCCCTCGGTGCTCCACCAGCGGCCGTGCATGAACGCAAAGAAGGCTGCAAACGCATCTGCGTTCTCAGGCATGGTGGCAACAAAGGGCGCTGCCACGTCACACATGCCCTGGCAGTACCCCACCTCGGGATCCACGAGGGTGTATGCTTCAAGGAGCGCCACCACCCGTGCCACGTGCATCTGCTGCGCTGCTGTGTGGCTCACCAGCCCCTCCTCCTCCCCTAACTGCACCTCGTCCAGTGCTGCCTCTAGCGCTTCCCCCTCCACCGCACTGCACCACTCTGCACTGCTCGACTTTTCGCTGCTTCGGCTGCTGTCACTACCGCCACTGCTGCTGCTGCCACTGCTGCTGTCACTGCTCATCCTGATGATACTGCTACCACTACCACCACTGCTACGACTTATCTCAAAAGTTCCAGCATCAATGCCTGCTGCTGAGTTTACTCCCCCTCCTGCCCCTCCCGCCCTGCCATCTCCCCGCCCATCCCTCGGCCATGTCACTCCAACCTCTCCACCACTCCCGCCTCCATCGTCCCCATCACCTGTGCCCCAGAAGGGGTCCCACTGTGCGCTTAGGCGCATGGCATCGAGGCGGATGGCTCGCTGCCAAGCACCAAAGTCAGACAGCAGAGTCACGGGGTCATGCAGTACCAGAGGCGCTGCCGCTGGGGAGGGGGCTAGCATGGGGGAGGGGGAAGGGAGGGGAGAGGCGATCCTTGTGGTAGTGGTGCTGCTACTTGTGGTCACGGCGAGCGCAGGAGGTGGGGTGCTTGGGCTGCCACTCATGCTGTGACCTCCATTGCTGCTATCCGCGTTGCTAGCAGCGCTGCTAGAAGCACAGTTACCATTCCCGTCGCCGCCTGAAGGGTCGCTGCTTGTGCTGCTGCGTTGGTTGCCAGGGCTGGTGATACCTGGAATGTGAGGGTGCGGGCGTGAGGCAGGGCTATGTGCATGTGACACGTGTGACGGAGCATGTGAGGTGGCAGCATGTGAGGGGGCAGCATGTGAGGCAGCTTGGGCGGCAGTGAGAGCGGGGCGGGCGGCGGAGACGGTGGTCCAGACATGTGAGACGACAGCGGTGACAGCAGCGCGGTCGGAGGGCGGGTGGCGGTGCAGGTTGGCGAGTATGCGCGCGCACATGCGCAGCTTGTGGTAGCACGCCCCGTGCGCCCTGCGCTGCTGTGCCCGCTCCTCCTCCGTGCTGCTCAACGCATGGCTGCGCGAGGCACAGGGAGAACACGTACATGACGTATAGGCCACAGAAGCTTATGACAGCAGCACAAGGACCCAGAGAGAGTGAGAAATAGAATGAGACTGGTGCTGACTTACAATGGACCCCGGTATAGAAGAAAGTGATGGTGGATGCTTCACACCACACCACACACACATGGCCATGCAGTGTGTGTGCATGCATGCACGCATCATGCCATCAACATGCCATCACCGGCCTTACATGCCCAGCAGCAGCGGCCACACGTCATTGCGCATGCATGGCGGGCACCCCTGCGGCAGCAACGGGGCAAGCGAGGGGAGACATGGCAAGAAGCGTAAGGCACGAGCGAGAATCACCAGGACATGTCAGGGGTGGAACGTAACGAGAACGATAGGCGCAACCACAGGGGCAATCAAACCACCACATTTACTCACCCTTTGCCGTACTCTCTGCAGCAGCTCGCGACCCCCATCCTCCAGTCGTGCGGGTAACCGCCACGCTCCCTCCGCTTCCAGCTCCTCCGTCCGCTCCACGCAACCCGCTCCCCGCTCTACTCTCCCCGCGCTATTCCTTTTCTCCCCCATTTCTGCGCTCACTGCCCCGCAGTCCCGCCCGTCGTCACCCGCCTTCTCCGCGGCCTCGGCGTCGTCCATGCGCGCGTGCGGCACGGCGGCGGAGTCCTCCGCAAGACACGGCGCGGCGGGCAGAAGGCGGTAGCCGTCAGTCGGGGCGGGCCTAGCGGCAGATGCGGCGGGTCTAGCGCGCGGCGCAGCACAGACGGCGAGGGCGGGAATCCGTCGGTAGGCGGGTTGCGACGAAGGATGGGGAGTAATCTGCGGAAGCTCTTTCCGCGGCGAAGGCGGAAGCCACTTCACCAATGGAACACTAGCGGAAAGCTGCGGTGAACGCGCGGAGACTTGCGCGGGCGATGACTGGGGGCATGACGGCAACGAAGCGGGGGGCGGGAGCCAGCCGCGGGTTCTACCGGCACCTGTGTCATTCCGCCCGCGCGTATTGCTCACTGGACCGCTTTCAGCTCGACTATGCTCCAATCGAGGGCTCCGCGAGTGCGACGGCGAGTCTAATACCTCCCACGGCGGCGCTGTCACCATCGTATTGTGGACGTTGGCGAATTGGAGAGGAGTGGTGTACGGGTTTCGTGGAATGGACCGAATGGGACAGGAAACAGGAAGGCCGGAAAGGAAGAATAGGAGGGGGTGGGTTGGGAGTGGATGAGGGGAGGGAAAAAAAGGGGATGGGGAACAGTGGGGAGAATAGTGATGAGTGAAAACGAAGAGGTGGTGTGTGCGGACTCAGGATCAAGGAGTGACTGAGCAATAGTATGAGTAGCTAAGTACCTGAACGAGGAGAGCTGGTCGGCAGCGACTGCCATGCATCCCCGCATTCGCTCCGCGAGTGCAGCCAAGGGTTGGACTGCGACGGTCCCGCAACCATTCTGATGGGGAAACTACAAAGATGGCGCGATGCGACTGTGTCGAAAGGAGCTGCTACCTAGGCGTGCCGTCATGGACATTCGAATCTGCAGTGGTCACCTACTAGTAAGTTTCTGGTTTCGCGAATGCAAACGCGTATGCGTCCTCAGAATGAGCATCCTCAGAGGATTTGCATTATTAGGCAGCTGCACTTATGCGCCACAAGAACATGTCGGTGGTGCCATCTTATCGTTGTCGCTGAGATATCATAAGGTTGGATTGAGAGAATTGATAACCTAGGGTGGTGTCAGCAATTTTGCTGAGAGCATCCTCCCTAGAATCAAAGTGGACGTGAAGTACAGCAGCACAGCAGCACCTCCCCGCAAACCCAAACCAAGCCTAAACGGTAAACCTTGAAAACCGTTTTGCACCGTGTGGAACCGTCCTGTTTCGCGATACAGGAACTGTGAATGTGTGGTAATTGTACAACCTGACCTCGCCCTAATGAATTTCAACTGACTGCACTGTAGTACTGTACAGTAGAATACTGTACACAGTTTCTCGAGAATGCCAACAATCCCATGCGCAGGGAACGTTGTTGCTTGTTCACAAAGCAACGGTATTGTCTGGTGCTTTACGGTGCAAGTGAACAGCTGAACATTCCAAGTACTTAACCGTACAGTACCGATCAGGCGGACAAACGCGGAAGACAATCCCCAAGGTGTGGGATGTGATGTGAGACTTGACTTCAAAGCCCACTGCAAATCCGCGAAAATATTCCGAACCGTGTTCAACCAGATGGTACCTTCTTTCAAACATCCGACATCCTCCCGTGTTCCCCATCCACCAGATCTGCACATTCACAGAATGGCGAATCACTTTACTGTCGCCACACTTTTCGCAACCCACGTCGCCTCTCAACGGGACCTCGGGAACTACAACAAGGATTGGCGAAACCCAGTTTCCATCCACTGACGAACGGCCGACAGCACAAGTTACCTCTGAGCTCGCCACTTCGCTAAACCATGACTCGAGCTTCTCTTTCTGGCAGATGATGATTTTGCACCTCCTCTGTCGCTCCTCTCTACCACTGCTTGTGTCAGACCCAAACAGATCTTGAGTTCCCTCCCATCTCTTCTGCCAGCCGCATACTAACCATTATAGCGGCTCAATTTTGCGGCACACTTCAGGAAACAGATCGCGGCGGTTGAATGAGCGGGAGTATTATTGTACACGTCACTAGATTTCTGGATCTTGTATTTCCATCCAACCATGTTTTTTTCCGGGCCGTTGAAACAGCATACGTGTCCCAAATTGAGGACAAAGAATCTTGTTGCACATTAGGCGGTCCAATTAGACGCTAGGGTACATTTGGCGGTCCAATTAGACGCTAGGGTACATTTGGCGGTCCAATCAGAGCTGGGTTCATCTTCTTGTCGGCGAATCTTTCTGATCCATCCACCATTCGCCACGGTGGCACGGTTGGGACCACCAGCACGGCGGATTTCTAACCGAGTAGCTCATTCCAACGGTCCGTAGTCAGACATTCCACGCATCTTCAGGCTCACGTCATATTCCGACTCCTCTTCTTGGAATTTCAGTTTATTTCTGCAGCCTTCTAGGCATTTTGCTAGTGAGCTTGGCTTCTGATCGCTCTACCAGTCCGAATCATCAGCATCTTCTCACATCGACACCATTCAGACTGCCCTGGATCGTATGGTCAGCTCGCGAACCGTCGGAGTTTCTGCAACGTAGCGAGTCAACTTCGCTTGTCGTCGATTTTCCGTCAGGTACAACGACCATCCTTTTCACGTTCTTGTATCAGCGACCTGATTCCGTTAATGTACGCAACCTTCAGTTTATTTCGACTCAGATTCTGACAATGGTGCTCGTTGTTATATCATGCGCAGGACGCCATGGTAAGCAAGCATCGGATCGTCGTGGATCCGCACCTCTCCATCAACCTCTTCGCGAGGTTGGCTACGACGCGCCTAAAGCGACATCGATCTCCCCGACTTGTGACAGTGAAGGTCGAATGTATCACCTTTCACCACCGCTCACCACAGAGCCTCCTCCCCCCGGTTAAGGTTTGGTAAAGGTTCGGTACAGGTGTGGTAAAGGTTTTTTTTTTTTTTTTTGGTACAGGTTGGTATTGGCTCTGTGGTGGGTCAGCACATTTTTCTTCACTTCGCAAAGTCGTTATTTCCGTTGCATGCCTTCTTCACTTCCGTATACTAACTATGTGTTTTTTCTACACTCGCAGGTTTTAATGGAGGCCGCGAGGCGTTTCGAAGATTAAAGAGGATCAACATCCGTTGGCGTCGTTTCATGCTCATAGCGGACAACGGAGGAGAAGCTCCACGGGTATTGAAGGTGAAGGTTAAGAGTATCAATCTCACCCTTCACACTCCTGAGCCACCCCCCAGTTAAGGTTAGGTACAGGTTCAGGTCTGGTAAAGGTCTCCTTAAAGGTTTTTTGGTTGGTATTTGGCTCGTTTTTTCCACGCTTCTTTTCGTTTTGCATCATTTGCTGTCCGACCTTTACTAATTTTCGTTTATTTCTTTATTTGCAGGTTTTATCTGAGGGTCTACTGCGTTATTCGGGGGAGCAACGTCGGCGTCCTGCCATGCTCCACGACCGGTGAAGGTTGAACGTATCAACCACACGTTGTTCACGCCACAGAGCCCCCCCCCTTGGTACAGGTTCAGGTTTGGTTAAGGTTGAGGTTGGTAAAGGTGTTGGTAAAGGTCCCCCTAAGGTTTTTTGGTTGGTATAGGTAGGCTCTGTGGCACTTGCACCATTGCAGCACAGTCCGTTTCTGCATGCTTGGTTTACTGCTCATTACTAACCTATTTCCATAGATATCCTTGCAGGTTCTATTTAAAACCACGCTCCTCGTGGTGTCAGAGCAACGCACTGCTAATCTCCAAGGCGGGGTGAACGTACCTGCCAACAGCACCTGGCAGGTGCCTCCTCTTTCTCCACCAGCAGTAAGTTTCCATTTCACCCCTCTTCGTTTGAGTCACTTGCTGCATGTTGTTCGTTTTCCTTCATTCACTTGGTTTACTAACTTATTTTTCCTGGTTTACTTGGCAGGTTTGCTGCACCAAGGGACTTCAACAAGCCCAAGACTCAGGATCCATGGGAGCATTATGGCCTGCTGAGGCACTTTAAGGCTCAAGCTTGGCAAGAAGATAAGTTTCCAACTTCAGCCTTTTCCCTTCAGCCTTCAGCCTTACTCCACTGGTATCTCCATGCTTGCTGATTGGTTCTTTTTTTTTTTTTTTTCCAGTCACTGACTTGTTTCATTTCGCCCCATGGCAGGTTCTCCAAGCGCCATCTATACGCCATGGACCCCCAAGACCTTGTACACCGCTGCACACTCCAGCAAGCTCCAAGGGCATGGGAGCACCATGACCTGCTGAAGCGCCTCAACTCTCAAGCACCGCTCCACCCTCCAAGCTCCTCAACCTCATATAAGTTTCATCTCTTACCTTTGAGCTCCTTTGCTCATGCACATGGCTTTATTGTGTTTATTAATTCGCTTTGATGCATGCTGTTTTTTTGCCTTCTCTTTTTTGTCATAGACTAATGCTTGTCTTTTTTCTGCCTGCAGGTGCCTTCATGGGCGGCAAGTCCCAGTGGGTGGCAAGCCATGGCCTGCTGAAGCGTCTTAACGCTTCAAGCTCCTAACCCACAGATAAGTTTCAGCCCACAGATAAGCTTCGAGCTCTCTTTTTCATGCACCTGGCTTGATTTGTTTGTTGATTTGCTTTGGTGCATACTGTATTTCTGTTTTCCCCTTTTGATCAGTGACTAATCTTTAACTTTCTTCTGCCTGCAGGTGCCTTCATGGTCAGCAAGCCTACAAGCCATTTCGCCAGTGCACAGAAGGGGGTCAAGCTTTGAGCATCGGCTGGGGACTCGATTCCGGGCCAAACCGGACTGGTTCTGTTCCCTCCTGCCCCCACTAAATGACAAAGCTGTCTGGCCAGCAGTGATGTCATTTGGTGGAGGTGGTTGTGAACAGAGCCAGTCCCTAGTAGGGCACCCGCACGTCTTGGTCCTGGCAATGCTCAAGGCTCAGCCTTCCTCTCTGCCTGTGCAGTGCACTGCCAGTCTATGCCAGGGTGGGCATGGATGGCATGCTGCCATGGAGTAGCTGTGGACCAGTGGTTGATAGGATAATTACATTGGTTGAGTGTACCTGTTTGAATATTATTTCATTTTTATAAGAATGTACCCTAGTGTAGCGATACTAAACCGGTACTTTAGATAAGGTGTAGAGTCCCAATATTCTTAAAAAAAAAAAAGGGAAATTCTACAAACATGTGTTGTCTTGAGTTCCCTGGCCTATATCCAGACACATAGTGCAGACTTGTAATCCAGATTCTCAATCATCACAATTGTTGCTGGAAACCCTCCAGAAAATTCTAGCAGAGAGTACATCGGTAAAGCACGAAATCGCATGTCACCGCATTGAAGTGCAGTGCACTCTTTCGGAACTCTACCTTCGCTTTTACCTGCCCGGTCTCGCCTCCGCCCAAGCTCTAACTGGGGAACAATCACGCAGACCAGACATTATCCCGACAGCCTTGTACTAGTTGGTGCGATTCACGTGCAGAGGTCAGCTAGGCTCGCGTCGCGCCGCGACCGAAGCCGAAGCGTCGGAAATGTCGATGCTGCTGTCCCATCGCACCGCAGAGCGCATGGCGAGTTCGGGCTGGCCGGGTGGTACAACCAGCCATTGCCTGCTGCTCCACGGCAGCAGCATCTGCGCGTTACAGGCGAGAGAATCCGCCTCTGCGACCCCGATCGGTACAATCGGAGCCGTTCATCGATTCCTCGCAGCGAGGGCCAGCGTTTTCAACGAAGGCCTATTCTATCGTCGTAGCGGGATAGTGAAGGAATTTCTTCGTGTTCACGGTTCCGCTTTTACGCGGTTTTCGAATTGTACTGCTCGACAAACTGATAGCGGGGTGGAGGATCGAGTCTAAGCGTCCGCTTTGTCTAATTTCTCTTGGCATCCAACGGTCATCCTCCGGACATCCTTGGTTCCAACGGTGGTTGTTCCAGCGGCCTTAGTTCTCTGTAATCTCCGCTGCGCGTTGGAAGCGCGTAGCGGCACACAGCAGCAGACTGCTGGGGGGAGCAAGAGAGAGCAGCAGGCAGCAGCAGAGAGCAGCCGCATCCTCGCCCTCCCCCGTGCCTCGCCGCTGTTCCCTTCGCGCCGTTCACTCCGCGCCGTTTACTCCGCACCGTTTACTCTGCGCCGAATCTTTCCGCGCGCCTCCCCCTCGTCTGCTGCCTCCGACGACGCGCGCGATGGGCGACGAGGGTTGCGACGACGCGAGGTCTTCGCTGCTGTCGCACGAGGGCGAGCCGGAGTGCGCGCAAGTGGCGGGCATGGCGAGCGACCTCGGCGTCACCATCGGCCAGCGCGCCTTCCACGTGCACCAGTACCCGCTGTACGCGCTACTAGCCTTCCACGTGCATCAGTACCCGCTGTACGCGCTACTAGCTCTAATCCGTTTCACGTGCGCCAGTACCCGCTGTACGCGTTACTAGCCGTGCTCCGTTCTCAGTACGCGTTTGTCGCCTTTGCTATGCGCTCTAGGTATGTAACCAGGCTTCACGGTACAGACGCTCCAGACTCTCCCTCTGTCTCCTTTTCTCCTTTCTCCTCCGTTCTCCTCTCTTCCTCTCCCTTTCCGTCCCTTCTCCCGTCCTTTCCCTTCCCGTCCCTTCCCTCCTCCTCCTCCCTCTCCTTTTCCTTCCCGCTCTTCCCCCCTCAGCTTCTCCCCTCCCTGTCGACGGTGATAGCGAGCGCGGCAGCAGCAGCGGGCGGCCGCCCCTGCCGCCTCTCGCCCCACTCCGTGCTGCTCGTGCGCTCCGCAGGTAATGCGTGGGGAGAGTGGGGGGGTGCGTGCGGCAGTGGGGGGTTGGGGCAGTGCGAGGGAGGGGTTGTGAAGGGATGCGGGGTGGGGTCTAATCTGGGAGCGCAGCAGATGACCTTCCGCCTTGCCTTTCATCTGCCGCTCAACAGTGCTGCATCTTAGTCCTTGCAAATCATGCTCTTTTTACTCGCCCCCCGCCTTCCTCCCCCCATCCCTTTCACCCGACCCCCTCTTCTCACCCCCTCCTTCCCCACTCTTTTGGGGAGGCGGGACGGGACGGGATGGGATGGGATTGGATGGGAGGGGACGGGACGGGATGGGGTGGGATGCGATGACGTGCTCCCCGTTTCACCATTGCCTTCACTCGTGTCTTCCACCCACTGCCTGCCACCCACCGTCTCCCATCTGCCTCCATGGTAATCTCCCACCGACCTCCTTTCGCATGCGTGCCCGCACATTCCTTCCTCTCCTTTCCACAATCCCTTTGCTCTTCCCCCACTCTTTGCCTCCCACCCACCGTCTCCCATCTGCCACCTTCGTCATCTCCCATCCGTCTCCCTCCCACTCCCCTCTCGCACTCTCTCCTAACCCACCGCTGTGTGCTATTCGGCATTGGCCTTCCGTCCCAACCCTCTGCCTCTCACTCTCCCATGTCTCTCCCGTCCCCTTCCTAACCACCCCCTCCAACCCCCCCCTCCCATTTCTCCCTCCCCCCATCAGGTGCAGCGCCCTGCCACCCTTCACTCCAACCACGCCACGGCTGCACATGCCGCCCCTGCTGACGCTGCTGCCCCCCTCGTAGCAACGGCTCCCATTTTATGCTCAGTACCTTTCTCATGAATCCAATCCGATTGATTGTATTCTGAAGATCACAACCATCTTCAATCTCCAAAACAGACCATCATTTATACTTATCTCTCCCCTTATGCTTTTCTCCTCTCGCTCCCTCGATTTCGTGTTTCCCTCGCGGAGAAGAGGTGGCTGACGTCAGCGTGGGGGCTCTACCGGACGATGGGGAGGAGCGACGGGAGATGGGGCACCTGGCGGTGTGAGCTCCGCCAAACCCGGAAACGGCGTGGAGCTTCTGAGAGATCGCAAGGCGAACACATTCTGGCAGTTAAGAATCGCAAGATGCTGATGTCTGGAATCTACTTGCTTCAATCTAACCAAGCCCATGTTGTGCTTGCGTGTGCCAACATTGCTTTCTCGTGCGTGTGTGTTTCTGTGTGTGTGTGCAGGTCAGACGGATCACAATCACATCTGGTTAACATTCAGTTTCAAAACAAGGTCCGGTTGCAGGTAAGAATTCTGCGCTTGCAATATCATCGTTACCACTTCCACCTTTCAGGCCTGCATTTAATGAATCCTTCAGTCTCACTGACTGGAGCTCACAGACTGGAGCCCACTGACTGGATCTCACCCCATTCCCCCTCTCCCCTCTCCCCCCTTCCCCCTCTTTCCCCTCTTCCCCCTTCCCCGTCTCCCCCCTTCGCCTCCTCCCGCTGGCAGCATGGCTGCTGGAGATGAGCGCGTGTGGGCCAAGCCACGCACTGCCACTGCCGCAGCTGCCGTGCCTGCACGTCCTCTCATCGTATGTCGGGAATGGGAGGGGGGGGGGGGTACTGGCGGGATGGGATGGGATGGGATGGGATGAGAGACGGCTTCTGCAGCAAAGGCACTGCCTGTGTGCCACACTATATGTGTGCAACAGCACAGGCACTGCCTGTGTGCCACACTATATGTGTGCAACAGCACAGGCACTGCCTGTGTGCCACACTATATGTGTGCAACAGCACCGGCACTGCCTGCGTGCCACACTAGAGATTCGCTGCTCTGCTGCAATGCAACAACTGGCTGACTCATGCTTCCATGTATGCATCCCGTGCGCCGTGAGCTTGGTTCCCTCCCCAGGGTGTGCGCAGGTTCCCAGGCAACGCGCGCATGTGAGAGTACCTGGGGTCTTTGCACTTGGACATGGGCTTCATGCACCAGGTGCGCGCACATGCATGTGCACACGTGCATATTTGTCTTCGCGTATGCGCGTGCGTGGGAGTGCAAGGAAGTGGGAGGTGTGATTGTGGGTGCAAGAGGTATTGAGAAACGGGTGAGTATTTGGCAATGAGAGAGGAGGAATGGCAGGGGAGCGGGTGAATTGGTCGATACAGCTCCACTGAAGCGGTGGACCGGTGAATCTATGTGCTCATTGCCACTCTCCGCAATTCGTTGTGCCATGTGCTGTGCTGTGCCGTGCCGTGCATGCTGTGCATGCTGTGCTGCCCTGTGCTGTGTGCAGGCGTACCATGATTTACACGCATCTCACTACACAGAAGCCCAGCAGCGACAAAGAAGCATCCTTCCTCATCACTGCCTTCTACCAGGTCAGCCCGCCCTCTCCCCTCCCTCTCTCCTCACATCATTACGCACTGCTGACTCATACCCAAACACCGAACCCCACACCCAACTAAACCCTCTCCCACACCCACATACACACACAGCCACAGTAACTTGTCTTAAAGCCTGTGCCGCTCACAGTCCAACCTTCCCTGCGTTGCTAGCACGCTCGACTGCGTTGCTAGCACGCTCGACTGCGTTGCTAGCACGCTCGACTGCGTTGCTAGCACGCTCGACTGCGTTGCTAGCACGCTCGACTGCGTTGCTAGCACGCTCGACTGCGTTGCTAGCACGCTCGACTGCGTTGCTAGCACGCTCGACTGCGTTGCTAGCACGCTCGACTGCGTTGCTAGCACGCTCGACTGCGTTGCTAGCACGCTCGACTGCGTTGCTAGCACGCTCGACTGCGTTGCTAGCACGCTCAACTGCGTTGCTAGCACGCTCAACTGCGTTCTTTCTGGTCCTTTCTCTGGTCCCTCCTCTCTGGTCCTTTCTCCCCCGCTCCCCTTCCTTTCCCTTCCCACTGCCTTCCCTTCACGCCTTACCCCCCCCTCAGCTTCACCCTGTCAACGGCGATCGCCAACACAGCAGCAGCAGCAGCGGGCGAGGGCACGGGCCCCTGGCAAGCGGGCCTCTCGTTCCTGCCTGGCAGCGCGCTCTCCTTGGTCCCCATCGCATGCTACTGCTACGCCCGCCCCTGCCGCCTCTCGCCCCACTCCCTGCTGCTCGTGCGCTCTGCATGTACGGAGGGGCAGGAGGGGAAGAGTGTGGGAGTTTGCGTGTGGAGAGTGCGGGAGTGGGGAGTGCGGGAGAGTGGGAGTGTGGGAGTGCGGGACAGGAGGTGATGTGAGCCGGGAGTACAGTTGATGACCTCGTTTTATGTGCGGTACAGTACTGCACCGTGCTGCATGTGTTCACCATTGCTGCTCTGCACCCATGCTCTCCTCATCCCCAATCTTCTTAACCCCCTCCCCCCATTCTTATCATTCCCCCTCTTCCCTCTTATCCTCCGCCTTTTACGTCCCCCATGTTCTCACCTTCCTTCTTTACACCCCCCCTCTCCTCCTCCCTCCTTCTCCCCCTCCCTCCGCCAGCATCGCTGCTGGAGATGAACCTTAAACCTCCCTTCCCCCCACTCTCCCCCCTTCCCACTCTACTCTCTTCCCTTCTTCCCCCTCTCCCCCCTTCCCCCTCATATCCCTTCCCCGTCTCCCCCCTTCGCCTCCTCCCGCTGGCAGCATGGCTGCTGGAGATGAGCGCGTGTGGGTCCAGCCACGCACTGCCACTGCCGCAGCTGGCAACACAACGCCTGCAGCACCTCCTGCAGCACTGCCCTCCGTGCCTGCACGTGCTCTCATCGTATGTAGGGATAGGGAGAGGGGGGGGGAGGGGAGGAAATGGGATGGGATGGGATGGGATGGGTGGGATGGGATGGGGTGAGGTATGGAATGGGGATGTCCATACTGTGCGTTGGCATGTGATGCGCATCTGTCCGTTTCACATGCGTATGCCTCTTCATGTCCTTTCTCGTGTGGATTATTGACAACTCCTCACCTCACCTCCTCTTGCATGCACGCCCGCACATTCCTTGCTCCCCTTTTCACCATTGCCTTCACTCGCATCCCCCACCCACTGCCTCTCACCCATCGTCTCCCTTCTGCCACCACGGTATTCTCCCATCCATCTTCCTCCCACTCCCCTCTCGCACTATCTCGTAACCCTCCGCTGTGTGCTATTCCGCATTGACCTTCCGTCCCCAACCCTCTGTCTCTCACTCTCCCATGTCTCTCTCGTCTCCTTTCTAACTACTTTCTCCACCCCCTCCCCCGCCCGCTTTCTCCCTTCCTTCCCTGTTTCTCCCTGTTTCTCCCTTTTCCTCTTCCTCCCCTTCCTCCCCTTCCTCCCCTTCCTCCCCTTCCGTCCGTTCCTCCCCTTCCTCTCCATCCGTCCGTCCTTCCACCCGGCACGTCTATGTGAGTGCAGGCAGAAGCAGGGAATGGCCGCACAGCAGCTGAGCAGCACACGGGAGCGCTACTACTGCCACTCACTGCACCACTGCCGGCAGCAGGGGCAGCGCCGCCTGCAGCGCGAGGAGAAGCAGAGGCGGCACTGGGGCACGGCCTATGGGGATGTCTCCTTGCTCACTCATAAACTCCACTGGCAAGAAGCTTTCTGGTCCGTGGTTGTTGTGACGTCTATGCTTTTGAAACTCCAATGTGCTGCTGACTAGTGTGATCATGCGTCCATTCTATGCTTTGATTGAAAGGGCCCGGCCCAGCAGTCCCCATGCCCCACCACTCCTTCCCTAAATGCTCTTCCTAACTCCTAAACACGCCTCCAATACTCTCTGTTGCTTTCTCCCCTCCCTCTCCCGCCCTCCCCCCAACGCACCACAGGCAAGCCCTGCAGCATCTTGCTCGCCTCCTCCCCGACCCGACCCCGCCACCCTGCTTCTCTTCACTGGCCTGCTCTTCCGCCTGCTCTCTCACGCCTGCTCTTTGGGGTTGGGAATTACCTGTCTGACACCAGATTCACAAGAATGCTTCTGCATGTTAGACCTTTCAACACAATTAGAGGAGGTGCTGAAAGGAATTAAAAGAAAAAAACTTGCTGCAAGTTGAGTGGAATTCTAGCGTTAGTATTCCAAATTTTACGGTAGTGCGTTAAATGACCACCCAGAGAGGATAAAAATTTGTGACAAATCAGTATATATTCCCCATATACACCTTGAAGTATCTGAAGACTGACATCTTTTTCTTTATAATTGATGTATACTAATTGATCTATACACACTGAACTTACCGCAGCGGCTGATGCTTGGGATGTGTGTGAGTCGCATGGTTTTCCGCAGTCGCAGAGCTGTGCGACGGCCTTTGGTGCACACAGCATTGGGATTCGTGTGGCGGTGGATGACGGAGCCAAGAATATGGACAGCTGGACGACTTCGTGCTACCTTCTGCAGGCAGCATTTTCGCAAGTTTGCAGCTGGCCTGCGTTGCAGGTAATCCCAGTCAGCGATAACAGGCAGGAGGGGTGGTTCGGTACTTTATTAGGCAGGAGGTGTGGCTCGGACGCTGGTTGGGAGACCCGCGTGCCGACATGTTCACATAAAAATGGCAGCAAACGTAGACTCACTCTGGCCTTGGGAGACCCGCGTGTCAGAATCTAGCAGCAGGAATGGATGAACTAACAGGATGCAGGAGTACAAGTAGTAAACCCTAATTGGGTTGTACCCCATATGGGCTACCCCACTACAGCCTAAACAATATGCAGCACATATAGTTTGACACACCCCCATAGGCAAAGTGGGGGAGAACCAGGGGTCACAAGACCAGTCAAGAGAAGCAAAACAAGCTCAGGGTGGATCACAACGTCACCACGCATTCCGAGCACAAGCAAAAGGCCACAGGGCCAGTTCACATGCAGAGATATATATGCAGCAATAACAGTACAGTGATGGCTACCTAGCAAGAGCCAGCATGCAGGTATATATATAGATCACAGTACAAGCAGAGACTACAGCAAGTGTGGAAACGTAGGCACAAGGCCCAACAGAGTACAAAAGCGCTGATGATCACCAGACGGAAGTGCCTTGGTGAATATATCAGCAGTGTTGGCCCGAGTGGCCACGTGACGAAGACGAAGCTGGCCTCGCTGCTGCAACTCTCGAGCCAGGAAGTAACGCAGAGCAATGTGCTTCGTTCTGTGCTCCAGTCTGTGCTCCTCACACAAGGCAATGGCGGCCTTGTTGTCGACGTACAGCACTGGAGGAGAACGAGGCTGCTCTCCCAAGTCAGTCAGCAGGTAGGTGAGCCAGCGTAACTCCTGTGCAGCCATGGCTGTGGCGTAGATCTCAGCCTCACAACTGGAGCTGAGAACTGAAGACGAACGTGTAGAACGCCACGAAACTGAACCAGAGCCAAGGCTGAAGGTGTAACCCTGTGACGACCGCTGAGTAGCCTGGTCGTCAACCCAAGAAGCGTCTGAGTGTCCAGTGAGGACAACTGGGCTCGTCCCTCCAAGCACTAGCCCCATGCCTGATGTGCTGCACAAGTAGCGCAGTACCCTCTTAGCAGCAGCCATGTGCTCAGGTCGGTGCCGACCAGGAGCCACGTAGCGAGCCAGAAGACCAAGAGGGTACGCGAGGTCAGGTCGAGTGCAAGTCATCAGGTACATGAGGCAGCCGACTAGCTCTGGGTAAGGACCACTCGGCTCTACGGACTCGTCCGAAGGTGGAGCTGAGAGCGTGTGACCTGTAGCCAGAGGAGTGGCCTGTGCTGAAGACCAGGTGAAGCCGAAGCGCTGAAGGACCTGCTGCACCATGTGTGACTGAGTCAAGGTGATGGTGCGACGTGCTCTGTCTCGGGTGATCTGCAAGCCAAGGTAGCTGCGCAGCTCACCCAAGTCTGTGCACGTGTGTCTCTTCTGCAGCTCCGAATTCACGTGGGCGAGAGCCTCAGTGTCAGCAGTGGCAAAAACCAAGTCGTCGACGTACACGAGGATGTAGAACGGCGGCAGGGAAGTGTCGGTGCGCAGAAACAGCGACGGGTCAGCAGTAGAAGGCGCAAACCCAAGAGCCGCAAGCGTAGTCCTCAGTGTGTCGTGCCACTCACGTGGCGCCTGGCGGAGACCGTAGACCGGCCGCCGGAGGCTCCACTGGGTACCAGGAGGGAACGACCCAGTGAAGCCCGGGGGGCGGCGCAGCCAGATCTCCTCGTGCAGGCTACCCTGCAAGAAAGCTGTGCTGAAGTCAAGAGAGTGAAGCTCGTAGTCACGGTGAGCAGCAACGTGCAGCAGCACCTGAAGAGTGGTCATCTTCGGGGTGGGGGAGAAGGTCTGGAAGAAGTCAACTCCCTCTTGCTGACTGAAGCCTCGAGCCACGTAACGCGCCTTGAAGACAGGCGGAGAACCCGGCGGCCGCTTCACCCTGAAAATCCACATGCCACTGACGATGTTCGCCCCAGGTGGGGGAACCTCGTCAACGTAGGTGCCTGTGGACTTCCAGGAAGCCATCTCTGCGTCCATGGCTGCCTGCCACTGAGAGGAGTAGGGACCCTCTATTGCCTCTGCGTAAGAGAGCGGAGTCGGGATGTCTGGTGCATCCGGGTCTCCCTCAGGGGCAAGTAGCGAGGACACAAGATGAGGTAAAGCAGCAGCAAGACACTGGAACTCCTCTTGCCTGTCCTCAAGGACGTCCGTGCTAAGAGCACACTCACCCCCGACGGACGGAGGACAGACAGACTCAGACTCAGCAACAAGACTAGCGGCGTAGTCTAGACGACAGGCAGCAGCAAAGTCAACAAGCTCAGCGACCAAGGCAGACGCAGCAGTAGACTCAAACGACGGGTCAGTGACAACAGTGGCTAGGAGACGCGTGACAGTAGGGTGCTCAGTACGAAACCGGTCAGACTCAGGGTCCGGAACGGCAGGCAGAGAGGACGCAGGGGGAGACGGCAGAGGAACAGGCTGCGGAGCAGAGGAAGGACGACGGACAACAAGGTGTGCGCTGGGGACAGCCGGCTGACGCGCACGAGCGACACGACGAACGGTACGACCAGAACGAACGGGCGAGACAGGACGCGACGCAGGCTCACGATGCGTAGCAGGACTGCCTGTCTGCTCAGTGTAAGGAGAGGGAGCAGGTAGCGGTGAGCCAGTCTGTAACGGAAGACCAGTAGACGACGGGAGAGTAACAACCTGACGAAGAGCAGAGTCAGGCGGCGGCAGAGACGACGGAGACGGCGGAGCGAAGAACAGTCGTGTCGGCACAGCTGCACCAGTACCGGCAGCTCCAGCAGCTCCAGTGCCTCCAGCAGCTCCAGTACCTCCAACAGCTCCCGTACCTCCAGCAGCTCCAGAAGCTCCAGTCCCAGAGCCGACACCCCCAGTCCCAGGGTCTCCAACCTCTGTGTCTCCAGCAGCAGCACCCCCAGAACCAGCACCTCCAGTCCCAGGGTCTCCAGCCTCAGTGTCTCTAGCACGAGCACCTCCAGAACCAGCGACTCCAGCACCTCCAGTAGACAAAGGACCAGCACCACTCCTAGCTCCAGCAGCGCGACGCTGACGGCGACCGTACCAGTCCTGCAGCTGCTGTGGGGTGAGAGGCACACGTGGACGAAGGTGGCTACTCCAAGGAGACCGCGCAACAGCAGACTCAGAACCCTCAGCGCCCGCACCCCCAACGGCTCCAGAACCTCCGGTGTCAGTACCCTCAGCACCAGTACCTCCAGCGGCTCCAGAACCTCCAGCGCGAGCACCCTCAGCAGCTCCAGAACCTCCAGCTCCAGCGCCACCAGTACTAGGCCCTCCAGCAGCTCCCGAACCTCCAGCGCCAGCACCCTCAGTAGCTCCAGAACCTCCAGCGTCAGTACCGCCAAGCTCAGCACCCCCAGACCCCTCACACTCAGGCTCAGCACCACCAGGCTCCACACCCTCAAGCTCCGCACCCTCAGGCTCAGTACCCCCAGGCTCAGCACCACCAGGCTCCGCACCCCCAGGCTCAGCACCCCCAGAAGTAGCACCCCGAGCAGGACCACCCTCAGTAGGACCTGAGTCACCAGTGACCTCAACCGGCGCAGTAAAGGGAGGAGGGTCTACCTGAGAAACACTTGAAGGAGCAGGACCGGGAGCGGGGAGGGGGTCTACCTGGGGAGCACCTGGAGCGAGGAAGAGCGGCGGGGGGGGGAGCGGGGCAGTGCGGTAGGGGAAGAGACGGTAAAAGGGAACCGACTCGTCGAACGTGACGTCCTGAGACGCAAAGACACGGCGCAAGGTGGGGTGGTAAAACTGCCAACCAGGCGCGTCAGGGACAAAGCCAAGGAAGACACAGGGAACAGCGCGGGCGGAGAGCTTGTCCGCGGTGGTATCGCGGACAAAGGCACGAGCACCCCAGACCCGGAAACGCGACGCATCGCCAACCTTCCCCGTCCACAGCAGTGTGGGCGAGGTCTCCGGCAAGGAGACATGGGGCCAGAGGTTGAGCTGATGCGCGGCGTACCGGACTGCAAACGGCCACAGGAAATGGGGGGCAGCCGCATGGATCATGGAGGTACGAGCGACCTCCATGACTAAGCCAATGCGGTGCTCAGCAACCCCATTCTGCTGTGGAGAGGCCGGAAGCGTGAACGACTGGGTGATGTCGTGCTCCGCACAGTAGGCTGCCAAGAGGTCTGAGGAGAACTCACCACCTCTGTCAGAGTGCAGACGGAGGACAGGAAAGTCCCGCCGGAACCGCTCGCGGAGCTGGAGACGAACAGTGCGGATCCAAGGGATCAAAACATCAAGGACGTCCCCCTTGCTCTGCAAGGGGAAGACCGTGGTGTAACGCGTGTAGTCGTCGACGACCAGCAGGAAGTACCGCTCGTGGCCCTGTCCCTGGACGCGGGCTGGGCCCCACACGTCCAGGTGGAGCGTCTGCAGTGGAGCCTCTGTGGGAGGAAACGAGGAGGAGTGAGGAGCGGCGCGCTGCCGCCCCTCGACGCAAGGAATGCAGGGCGGCGCAGGCGAGGGAGGGAGGGCAGGCA